ATGATAATGAGACTCCTGAAAGGAGAATATGGCATCTTTAAAAATAATTTTAATTATGTAAATAAATTGCAATTTTGAAGGAACTAAATAAAACTTGTGTAGGTAGTTTATATGTGCCATATCTTTAATGAGAATTACTAACAATAAAGACATTATGTCTTTTACATAAATTATTAATGAACCATTATAATTGAATGACATTATTAACTAACACATAGTAATTACAATTTGAAAAAATAAAATACACAAAATGATAATTAGCAGCCTCTATTAAACAAGTCCCAAAAAATTAGCATTAAATAATGAAACACTATTTTTTCATGTCCCAATAAAGCTTAAAACATTTTCTATTAACAAAATCATATTATTTAGCAAATATGCGCCCACAATTTTAATTATTGAGGAATCAGTAATAGTTACATCAATTTCACCTTATTAATTAAAGTAAAATTCTAAGCACTAATTATAATATTTTCTCGCTTGCACTCAAATACATTCATAAATAAAATACTATCTTAAATTCTGTTTTTAAAAAAAAAATCGCTGGCCATTTATATATAATTGAAACGATAAAAATGAAAAAAATTTTTTTTAGTTATCATGGCGCAGCTGCGTCGCAAGCACAGCAGAAGTGCGACACTGCGCATATCATCATTTTTATAGAAGAGACCTTAAATTAACATTTAGAATATCTCGATAATAAAATTTTTTTTTATACATTTCTTAAAGTAAAGTTTTAATTTCTAAATTATAAAAAAAAAAAAAAAAAAAAAAAAAAAAAAAAAAAAAAAAAAAAAAAAANAAAAAAAAAAAAAAAAAAAAAAGATCAGTTAATAGGTCCGCTCACTTACGGCCGTAGACTGTTTAGGCAAGGCTGAACTAGATTATCCTTGATACAGAATAATTTGGATTAAGCATTTGTAATAAATAATCCCTTTAAATGGTCTAACAATAATATTAAGTACATCAAAATATTTTTAAATACATCAAATAACATAATTTCTAAATTATTTGATGGGAGATAGCAGTCTAAAATGCATTAACGAAGAGTTCATGTGAGAAAAATTTTTTATTCTTTTCAAATTAAAAAAAAGCAACAAAACGATATAAAATAAAGTCGCTCTTACCAGTCGGCACAGCGCCAAAAATAAAGCGGTCGTGTTTTACTTTAGAAGAGCAAATAATTAACAGCAAAAAAATATTTATGTGCTCAGCGGCAACCTTGCGTTGAGAGGGTGGAAGTTTGAGAGAAGAAGATTGAAGAATCTTACATTTAAGGAAAGAAAATTATTCTTCTATTATTGAAAAATAATTCAACCCTATTCATCGAAAGAATTAATGCTGCGACTGGTCACATAAATCTGCAAAACAATTTAATAAGAAAAATAAAATGAAAAATTTTAAGCTAGAAATTTATTTAAAAAAAGATTCAAAGATAGAAAGATTTAAAAATTCATTAAAGTCTACAATTTGAGGAAAAAATGTAAAACAATGTAAAAATTGAGCATTCAAAGTCACTTTCATCACTATCAGCGACAAATAAGTTCAAGATTTCATCATTTGCTGTATAATCAACACTAGAAGAAAACTCATCAGAGTCATTGCTGTCGGAGTCATCCTCGATGATGCCGGCATTTTGCAAACGCTCGAGTCTCCGCGGGTACCGCATCCCTATCCACTTCCTGATAATCTCATAGCTTGCTCTCTTCCTCTTTCCACTAGCAATCTGTCCACTAGATCCTCTTCCTCCTCACACATCCATTTCCCCATCTTTTCCGAACTTCATTTTTAAATGCCCTGTTGATTGTTATATCAAGGGGTTGCAATTTCTTTGCCAAGCCTCCAGGGATAATGGCTATTTGGGTGGAACGTTACCTCACATTTTTTTCAAGTTAAGTTTCTAACTCACATTTCACATAACTTCACATTTTTTTCAAGTTAACTATTTGCATGGAAAATAAATTATAATATAAAGTAAAAAAAAGTGCTAAAAATTTGTGAAAAAATATTTTTAAATCGTAATAACTGTTGACATTTTCACAAAAATGTTTTATCACAAAGAATATTATAGTGCGGCTTTGAGAAGAACTCTCCCAGACTGAAAGTCTGGGGCCGTCTGCTACTATGGTGAGAAGCGAGAGTACATCTATAATGGGGGCGAAATGGAGGAACGAAGTTGTCGACTGGTTTACTCACACCGACCTATGCCAAAACTATTAACCTCACACCCAAGTGTCTTTTTCTCGTAACCATAGTACCGGTCACAATCACGAGACGGATGTCTGGAGTAGTTCTTCTGAAAGCCGCGCAATACTAATTTCAAAAATAAAGCTGAACTGACAGAGGGAGGGATTAAGTTACATTTCAGTGTAAATGTTGTGTCATAAACACTCATGAAAGAAGCTTCTCTTTAATGCAAATGTAAAAGATAGAACCTTTTTAAATGACTATTTGGTGAGAATCTTTTGTTGCATAGACAACAAGAATGCAAAGTACCACCAGAATAAGGCTAATTTCAGATTATATGCTACATTTTAGATTTTCGTATTCATGACTTAATTCCAAGAATTTTTCATGACTTAACGAAGTTACTATTTTCTCCGACAAAAACACAACAATAAATTAAAAAAAAGCATCATAATAACATTAATTGAAATGACAGGTATAACCAAAGCTGTTATATTCAACATCTTAAAATTTATAGATTTCAAATTTGAAAAACAGAGTAAAGAAAGAGTTGAAGCTATAAAGTAGCCGAAAATAATACAAAAGCAAATTTTTTTTCCCTTTTTTTCTGTAAGAATTATATTTAAAACACTCTTTTCTTGTTCATCAGAAAGGAAAGAAATACTCCTAGTTTTTCTGTTCTCATATCGGAATAAAAAAAAAATTGGTTAATGGCTGCCTTGATTCAGCTAGAATTTGAAATTGATAAAATAAAAATTGAAAAAAAATAATAACAAAATTCTGAAATTAAAGAAGTTAAAAAGATAATTTGCTCTCGAAATGATGTTTTTTCTTTCATTTTTTGAAAATACACAATAATTTTTAATAACCATGATAAAACATTTTATATTTTTATAAAATATGAATGTGAGTGAGGATTTTGTTACGAATTCAGATATTCGAAACACCATGAAATTGAGGAGGGGGGAGTAAATTCCATTTTTAAATTCATGACTTTCCATGATTTAAAAAAAAAATAGTTAAAATCATGACATTTCATGACAAATTTTGTTCAATATCGAAATTCGTGACTTTCCATGATTTCTCATGGCTTTCCAGGTGCGCAGATACCCTGTAATTTTTATAATGAATGCTAGAGTGGAGGAGTAAGTAACATTTCAGTGAATGTTTTGTGTAAACACTGTATGAAAAAGCCTTCTCTTCAGTACAGTTGAATCAGATAACGCCTCTTTAAATGATGATTTCTTATGAATTTTTTATCTCAAAGACTACAAGAATAATACTTGTTGCAATTATAAGGCTAATCATTATTCTGAATAATAGAGTGACGAATTCAGTCATATTTCAGTGAGAATGATTTGTCACAAACAATGAGGGAAAAGGGTTTCTCTTCAATATGAATGTTTTAAAAATGTTTTATCACAGAGACTACATGAATAAAGTTATAAATCAGCATGAATACAAGAGTGACGAATAAAATTGTTTTTATCTAGAAATGTCTTTTTACACTCATGGCATGAAAAGAGTACATCAGTGCTATGAAAATGATCATGTCTAATTACACCAGTTTTATCTTTACGTCATATGCATACAATTTCTCACTATCCTCATTTTTGCAATGCATTTTTCGTCATTTTCACTGAAAGGAAATTTTTTTTATTAGCCTGAAGAGAAATACGTCGTGTTAAACAACCTTAAGTACTGTAATTTTTACTGCACATGCACACACTACATGAATAGGGTTTCTCTTTAGTGTGAAACATTTATATGTTTCTGAGTTAATGAGTGTTTACTTGCAAATATTTAATCATACACTCTGCACTCAAGCCAAAGTACTACACGTCTGATCATGGATGCTGAATAAATAAGGTATTAGAGCAGCTTAAATTAAACAATAAAAATTTGGAATGAATGCATAAATATTCTGAAATCAAGAAATAATACAAAGGTTACTATATAATAAAAACCACCTTTGATATAATAATGTGAGCTGCGCTTACAATCATAAACAAAATTTAAATTATCTTTTAGAAATAAAAGCTAAGATTAAATTCAGAGCTCTTAGATTGGCGATCGAAATGGGCTACAGATGGCGTAGAGCAGAACTCTCTACCTATGGCACATTTCGCATGCTTTCACCATCAGCGTGTGGAGAGTCATAGAAGAAATAAATACGTTAGTTACTGTCTTGATTTTCATATAGATTAAATTGTTTTAAGTTAGGAAACAATATGGAACTGAAAACTGCATTAAACATAGTTCTAGAAGAAAGCATCATGGAAATTTCAAAATATATTTTCATTAATTAAAATGGAAAAATATTAAGAAAACGAAAAAATATCGTAGTATATTCCTATACAACTGAAAAGAGGAGGAGAGGGAAGGGAGAAGGGCCAAACGCACGGAACCGGTCTTCTCTCCAGATGGCGTATTCGAGCGCTGCGATCGATAGGAGGATAGTAAACTATCTTGAAAGAGAACTTAAGCTTGTGGCTTTCTAGGTTCAGATCAAATTCAGGGCTTTCTTTTGATTGGTTCTCATTTCTTGGTTCTTGAGTTGGATTAAAACAGACAGCCGAAAACTTTAGCAATCAAACAATCATGAAATTATATCAATAATCACTTTTGTGGTCACATCATCAAGTTACAATTTGTTTGTATAATGTGTCTTGGCATAAAAAATGTCTTATTAACGCGTTTCAATCTCNTTGAGCGCTGCGATCGATAGGAGGATAATAAACTATCTTGAAAGAGAACTTAAGCTTGTGGCTTTCTAGGTTCAGATCAAATTCCGGGCTTTCTTTTGATTGGTTCTCATTTCTTGGTTCTTGAGTTGGATTAAAACAGACAGCCGAAAACTTTAGCAATCAAACAATCATGAAATTATATCAATAATCACTTTTGTGGTCACATCATCAAGTTACAATTTGTTTGTATAATGTGTCTTGGCATAAAAAATGTCTTATTAACGCGTTTCAATCTCATGTTTCTATAATTTTTTAGGGTGCGTCAAATATTTTTATGCGTACATAAAAGTTAATAATTTGACTCTTTTTTTCAATAACGGGATCTTTAAAGCAAAACATGTTCTGTGAGTATTGAATCATCTTATTTTTAAACGTGTTGTCATCACTTTTGAATAAAATTTGTGTAGTACTTTCAGATCTTAACTCTTTATAGGTTTTTAAAATTATATCTAATCCGCATTTAATAATTTTTGCTGTAACAGCAAAATAATTTGCGCCTATTATTTTTAAAAAAAGTGCTTTTTAGTTTATTTAATGCATGTAACTAATTGTTTATTTATATGCATGAATATTAAGTGGCAATAAATAGAGAACTCTTCTTCATATTAAATCATTACTATTTAGTCAGCATTGCTAAAAAAATACAAAATTCTGGGGGAGAAGGAGCAAAATATAGAAAATTGGAACGATAGATTAATACTAATTATAACAATGCTTACATTAATTTTCTCTATGTGGCAATTTAATGAGTAATACACTCTCTATTGGAAATAATCTATTTGCATCATATATCAGGGGTCTATCTAGGCCAAGTACCTTCACAACCTGTAGCAGTACCTTCACAAATTCAGTTTTAGGAAAAATGGTAGTTTATCTAATTACTTTTTCTTAAAATTTTATTTTTGTATCCCATACAAAACGATAAATCCATATTTTCGTGTTGATTTTTTAATTTTCACAAAATAGGTACCTCTCAGAAAAACCTAGACAGACCCCTGTAATATGTATATAAAGTTTTAAGATACTAATGTAAATCAAGATATATGCATTGAAATTTTCAGGAAATTTTTTTTTTGCAAAATAATGTTATGTTTATTATTTTCTTGACAATTGAGTATATCGTTTAAAGAGTTTCATTTATTAAATTTAAAATAAGTTACAAATTGTTAACAATTTCTGTTTGTTAAACAGTTGAAACAATTCTTTTATTAAATGTTAAATTTTTGAATTCTTATATTAAAAGTCATGTTACTTGCTTTACTACAAGTAAAGTTGGCCGTTAAGCTTTGTTTAAGGTTAGAATTTCTACAATGTGTAAAATAAAAAAATAGCACACTTAAATAACTTTTGAACTAATGATTGGATTTTCACTCATGAACATGATTATCATCTTTAAGTTTCTAGGGTTGACTTTAAATGAAAAAAAAATAATTTGAATTGTGAATATTTTACATTGTGAAATTAAATTAGAAGTAGGAGATCAGGTCTATTCTGGAAAAAGTGGTGCTAACTGTATTTTATTAAGCTCCTCAATTGTTCATTGTTTCTAATTCATTTTAAGCAAATCATTGTTGTAATTTTAATGTTAATGCACTGGGTCTATCTAATAATTAATTCATTCTCCTAGCTTAGTCTTTAGAACTTTTATTGAATAATATACTTTGTTTAAATGAAAGGTATAGGTTTTTTTTATACTTATATATTTTTTATTTATCTATTTACTTTTTTTTTTTAGCTAAAAAGAAAGTTGCGCCGGTCATGCAACGTTCTCGCTTTGCAAAAGCGAAACCTAAAATTGTTCCGAAAAGTTCACAGTCAAAAAATGAAAAAGACCTTTCAAAGTAAGTTTTTTTAATTTATTATTCTTTTTAATACTTAACTCACTCAACGGAGCTTTTATTTAAATTACTCAAGTTTTCCATTTCTTTAAGTTGTTTGACTGTTATTAACAAAAATATTTCATTATTGTTTGTTAGAGATAATGACAGTTGAATCTTTTTTTTTTATATTTCAATCATATAAAATTATTTCTCATAACATATCTTCTGTAAAATTAGCATAATATTCTAGTATAGGAACCGGTACATTATGTTTATTTGATTTTTTTTTTTCACAATTTTTATTTTGCTTTTATTTTAAACTCTTTTTGTATTACTAGGAGACTCTGCTCCCTGCTTACATGGTCCGGTTTAAGATTAGGTTAAATTAAATTACTGTACATTCTGGTGTATTATTCAACCCCCCAAAACTTCAAGAAAATTGGGGGGTTGACTTTTACGTGGGTGATAAAATCAGGCATTTGTTGTTTGTTATATATCAATGTATTATAAGCAATGAGATAAAAAAAATAATTTGATGGAGCAATTTTTTTATTTTTTAAAAATTGTAATCACCTGTAACGGCAAAAGTAATGGTATCAAATATTTGTAAGGAAATGTTTTTTTTTTGCCAAATTTAAATAAATTAAAGCCCTTTGACAGGTCCTTGAAATTCCTCTAATTTTACAGAATATATTATTTATTATAATTTTTTTTTAAAAATTTTTATTGTTAAAATTTTCTTACTGCTTGCAGCTAGTCCCTTTTTTTTGTAAACAAAAGTATTATTATGTCATATTATTTTTATTACTTTCTCTTCCAGGCATTTGAAATTCGCATAATTTTGAAATTGTAATACTTTGATGCTGAATTTTTAATAATTTTTAAAAACTAAGGAGTTTTTAAAAACCTTTTTATTTTCTACAATAATAGTACAGAATTGTTTAAGCTTAAAGCTTAAGTATAGCAGAATAAAGCACCAGAGAAACATTCATGGGCCCTGTACACGTTTTCTTAAATCTCAATATTTCAGATGAAGAAAAGAGAAATTCAAATCTCACATTCAAATAAATTTTTTTGATGCGTTTGATTTGTGTTCTATCCACATGATGTTTCGATAATTTTTTTAATTATATCGATTTTAAGTATTTTAACATAATACATTAGATTCCCGACATTATTATGATACATTAAATTAATTCATGCACCTTAGTATTTATTATTTTACACTAAAATTTTATAGTTTTTTAATCTAATTTTCAGCAATTATCACTATTTATTATCGTATATTTTTTTACATCTTGATATTTTTAATACAATATTCTTTATTGGAACATGCAAGTCTCGAAACACCTTTTTGATGCTTCTGATTAATGTGATTTTTGTCATAAATATAGGTGTTTTTATTATAAATTTTTTTCAATGTTGTCACGGATTTTAAAATCTTTTTTTTTTCCTTGCGTTGATGAATCACAATATTTTTTATGTATTAGTGAGAAAAAGATTTATTTAATAAATGTTTTTTATATCTCTCTTTAAATTTTATAATGTTACTTTTGTGCAGAAAATTGAATGTTTTATTTATCTTCCATGTATTTAAAAAAAAATACATGTTGAGAAAAAAAAATTAAATTTTCTCTTTACAGCATTTAGGTACACATCTGCTGAAACATTTGATTGATATATTTAAAACAACCCATCTCCATCCACTGTAAAAATATCTACAGCGATTTTATTAAACTTCACAGTCGGTAATTATTCGCTTATATCAAGGTTTCTTCTAATAAGAACACAATGTGTAAAGGTTACTGTTGTGTTTCCATCTAAATACTGTAATAAATGTTTTAACCCACTGGTGGCTTAGTAATGTGCAAAATTAGGAGAATGTTTCTCCTTGATGCACTATTTCCTTTTCCAAGAACATGGGAAGACCGGTTTTGATATCCTGATTAGACAACTGGTTCAAATACGACTTTTTACGTGCAGAACCTGCAGTGGGTTAAACAAGGCTCATTGACATATGAGTCTTTCATGCAATAGTCAAGTCACTTTAAATTTCAATCCAGTAAAAACTACTGTTCCATACGACCTGATTATAATTAAATTCATGGTAGGTAAGTAATTTGTTTTCAAAGGATCTTGAAATGCTAGAAACTCAAACATTGGAGGACGTCTTTGAGTAGTTTTCCTCTACTCAATTACGTTAACCCTTGGATACAGGTTACGCATGGACAGTTCTCTAGTACTTCATTTTTTTATACTTTAATTTTAATCAAAAACAATTCTATAGTGTTATTATAGAAAAAAAGAAAGAAAAATTTAAAAGTTTTTTTTAATTTTTAAGAATATGATTTTTATTACTCTACTTCAAGGGGATAAAATTTGAAAATTATGCAGATTTCAATATATAATTTAATGTATTACTTTTGTTTATAAATAAAAAATCCTCCTATACTACTTGATTTTGAATTTTTTTTTGTTGATTTATTTTTGATTGATTTTTATTCTTGTGGTTTTGATTTTTTTCGTTTAAAAAATTTAATTATCGACTTACCCTAATGAGTGACTCTGTGTCAATTTACATCTTTCATAAACTATATTTAATATATTATATACAGTTAATTTTTACATTCACTCTTGTCATATTTTCTATTTTCTCAACATATAAAAAATGTGCTTTTCTTTTAAAAAATACTTTAAATTATTTTTAGAAACAGAAGTGAAGAATAAAATAAAAAATACAAAAGTATTTTAAAAAAATTAAAAAATTAAAACTTTTCAAACATAACATAAATCTACAATTAAAACTCCAGAATATCATCTTTGCTGTATTTCATAAACTTAGTAATAATGTCAAAGGAGTCCCGCTCTGCAATTGATTCTATTTCACCCTCAGCTGTTGCGTCCCACGCAAAGTAGGTCTTCGTAAAGGATTTTATAATTAAATAGAAGTTTTCTTTCTTTCTTCTTCTTCTTTTTCTTTTTTTTTTTTTAGTGGTCAACTTATACACTTGACCACAAATTTGCTATCTCATAATCAAAAGTAGGGGATCGACTTATATGCCGGGATATAAGATATCATAATAATCTATTTTCTCATTAAAACAAAAAGTTCCATTAAATTTATTTTGATGTTTGTATATACATATATATATATATGTTTTTTTTTATAGAAGTTCTGGTGAAGAAAAAGGATCTGAACCTTTAAGTCCTGTAGCAAACAAAAAAGCTTCTCACGATACATCAAGCACTTCTGAATCTGTGTATGTTATTTGGATTTTAAAGTTATTTTATTTGTAGTGTTATTACCATTATTTTTCGAAATACATTTTTACTCTTCCCCTGTTAGCACTTTTATTTTATTGAAATATTCAGTTCTGCTTAACTTTATTTTTACAATAAATCTAATAAAAACCTATAAAATGTTTACGTACTTGTAATATTTTTCTATCACTGGTCCATGAATTAGTAATTAAATTTTTTTTAATTTGTACTCTCTAATATTTTAGTCAAGTATTTACTTTAAGAAACTTTCCCTTCATTTTTCTCGTATGATTTTCTCTACTAGTTTAATATTAAAATACGACTTATTTTTGTATTTAGGTCACTTAATGAGGAGGTGAAAAGCCCTTCTTGTGAGAGTGTTGATGAAGTATCGCCAAATAGAGGCAATTTAAATAAAGTCTCAACTGATGCGAGAGAACAGGAAAAGCCTTCTCCATCTAAAAAAGAACATGAGAACTTAGACAAAAATTCCTCTCCACAAGAAGAATCCGAAAATCAGATATATAATGGGAATCAAGAGCCACCTGTTGCCAGTACAACTCCTCTTTCTGTTGCACGCACTGAAACTTCTCCTGTTAAAAATTCTAGTTTAAAAGAACTGAACAAGCATACAGAAAATGAAAACAGTTATTTTTCGCCAAATTATGAAGTAATCGGATTTATTATTTTATTAGTATTCATATCTGTGTGTTGCTCTAAATTTGGGAGATAGTTTACACTATATATATATATTATTTCCTAGTCGCAGAACTAACTGTGCAGACAAAAATTTCCTTTTACAGTCAAAATTAAGTTAAACTGAATAAAAATTTTTTTAGTACTTTGTTTTACAATCTACTAACACTACTACAAGCTACTACTTGTGCAAGCTTGAAATTAGTACCTTGTTTTTCATAACATTCATTTCATTTCATTCATAGTCATTTCATTTACAGAGTTCTGGTTGCGTGATAACAGATTTTTAAGCACATTTGATAGAGTGTAGGATGCAACTTAGGTCTAACTTATAAGCTTATAGCATCCGAAAGATTTAAAAACAGCAAACTATGCAAATATGTGATAGGCGCAGAAAAAAAATATTGATGATTTATTTTCAAATGTCTATCTTTTGAAAAAAAAGCAACCAGTAGTAGCATTTTTAACAGTAGCCACTTTTGAAAGCATGGCTACTTTTTCCAAAACTGAGGATTCTAAATCATTAAAAAAGAATATTGATATTAGTAATTTAAAACATTTCTTTCAAATCGTTTCTCAAAATATGGTTAACAATACAGGGTTCATTTCTATTGTGGGGAAAAAATGCTTGACCTCTTCAAGTTGGTTTATGCAAAATTTAATTATTGTATGTAACACTTTCCATAAGTGAAGTTTAAGGTGTGACTCTTTGAACCAATATTACAAAGTAAAATTAATGTTTATTAAAAAATATAAAACTTTGGTAACAAACGTAACATTAGTTACGAAATCAATCTGAGCTAATTGTAATCATAAGATTGAAACATATTAATTAATTTAAAATATTACTAGCCATAAATTTAAAAAAAAAAAATTATGAAATTGAAATACACTTGAAATCAAATTTGGTAACCAAATTTTGTACCTCCAAAATTTTGAATTAGCTTAGAACAACCTGAACGCTTCAAAGAGGATTACAGCTTTTTCGCGCAATAAATAATGTGAAAAGTTAAAACCACATATTTTAGAGCAAATGGAATGCAATTTTGACGAAAAAAGCGGCGATTAACAAACACAGTTTAATCGTCATTTTTTTTTTTAAATATTTAGTTACCCTGTGGTCAGTGGCGGCCGTTAATTTTGCTCTATATTTTCCAGTCTCCTTAATATTTTTCTTGTACAATATTTTGTGTAAACTTGATTCTGTCCTGTATCAGCTCAATTCTAATAAGATGTTCCAGAAGTTTATTTCCTCAGCTTTGATTGCTTCTTTTTTTTGTTTTTTTTTTGTTAATGAATCCTAAGTATTGTAAAAACTTTTTGGCATTCATCCAAACATTAAGTAGTACTCAATGAATAATGATTTAATTTTAAATAAAAATTTTGCTAATCTAATCTATGTGCCTTTTAAGTATCTTTATATTGAAATTTTGCCGTATTTTAGCCATTTACCTCATAATTGTTATTCATTCTAACGTATTATTTAATATTTTAGTTTACTTAAAATATGTTGCATTTTTCCCATTTTAATTGTAGTTTTTTTATGTTTAAGTTGTGATATTCGTAAAACCATATTGTGTTTTTTAATAATAAAATATGCATAAAAAATAAATTAAAAAAAGTTTATTTTTATTTGTTGCAGCGCCCCAAAACTATTGAACTGGTGGAGAAAGTCATCCCATCTCCTATCAAAACTTCTGTTGTCTCTTCAACTGACAAGAGTTTGAAATATCCATGTCTGACTAAAATATTAGCAGCTCCTAAGAAAAGGCCCCACAACAAGGAGGTGAATTTTTTTTGTTGTATTTTGAAATTATTAGTTTAAAAATGCTACTTTTGCTAATTGATTTTAAAATTACTCTTAGTTTACGTCTATAATAATATTTTTTCTTTGTATGATAAATTATTTTATTTCAAGCCTGTGCAGAATTATTTATTTATAAACAGATTTGTCAGCAGATTGACAGATGTCATTGAGTTTTGCACTTAAAATTTTCAGGGTTTTTAAATTTCTTTCACAATCACTCATAGATTTTTATAAATCAGAGTTAAAATAATTTTGTTCACAACTGCATATAAATAGTTTTATTTGACATATCTAAGATTACTTTGATCAATTGCCATGTTTCTAATTAATTTTTATAAAAGTATGGGTGTTTAAAAATTATCTGCTTTAGTTTACTATCCACTGTAAAATTATTTTGCAGAAACCTAAAAAGAGGGTTTAGGACAATTATTTACTTTACCTAGGTGTTCTTCAAAATCACATTTATTTGCACATCAACTATGAAATGCCGTATTAATTGTGCTTAACTCATCATTTCTTCATTTTTTAAAGATGAATGAGAGGAAGAAGAAAATGGCGAGCTACAAAGAGCTTCCTCCTAGAAATGAAATGACATTTACAGATCTTATTTATTGGAATCCAAATACTGCTCCCATGAAGTAATTCTTTTCTTTTTGTTCACTTTTTCTTTAACTTAAGAATTATTTGTTGGCAAAAATGGAAGAATTTTTAACTTGTTTTATTACCAAATAAGTATTTATATATCCATTTTTATGTTACTTTTTCTTTCTTTAACGTAAGAATTCTTTGTTTGCAACTAAAATAACTTTTAACTCGTATCATCATCAACAGAGTATTTATATACCCATTTTTTTGTTCACTTTTTCTTTCTTAAACTTAAGGATTCTTTGGTTGCAAGTAGAAGAATTTTTAACTTGTTTCATCACCGAAAAAGTATTTATATATCCATGTTTTTTGTTTACTTTTTCTTTCTTTAACTCAAAAATTCTTTAGTTGCAAGTAAAAGAATTTTTAACTTGTATCATCACCAAATAAGTATTTATATATCCAGTGGGATATACAAGTACTTATTTATCCTACCTTTTATATCCCCCATTTATCCAACACCGTTTGAGACCAGGTGTTCATTAGAAAATTGAAATAGTCTTATAAGTGAGGGACCTTTTCAAGTTGATTTTTACAACGTATAAACATTAATCTATCTGTAAAATTACTCTAAATAATTAGTAGCTATAATAATTTCATTTTAAATTATGTTTATTTTTGTGAATGTGTATGGGGGCCATTCAAATATTGCACAAGTTAATAATAGGGGGAGGAAGTTTGTGATTTGCTTATTTTTGCTGACAAGGCGGAGAAAAAGTGCTAGCAATACTTACGTAAGACATTAAAAAACTCTTATTTTCAAGATTTTCTTTAAGAGAAAAATAAAAAAAATTACGTGTGGAAAATTTTTAAATTAAGAACAGTTTTGAACTATGTTGTGGATTGTAACTTAACTTATGCAATTATATAGAAAGAATTGAATATCAATAGAAATAATTTCAAACAAGTAACCGTAAACCGTAGTAATTCGTTTAAAACGGGTCATTAAGCTAAAATATGGAAAACTTCATGAAATATTTAGTATTTCTTAGCATCAAACAATATGGAGCCATAGAAAAACATTGTGTAAAGAATCAGCAATTACCGGCATAGTTTACTTATTTAAAACTCATTTGGCTTGAATGCAAAACAATACGGAGAATGCAAAACAATACAGCATATAAATGAGAACGTTCAGCAATATCCTCTGGTGAACGTCAAAAAGAAGAAAGTTAAAGGTAGGAGATTGGTCAGAGCTTTCAGTCAACAAACAAAGGCTCACAATCAGTACTCAAAAACTATCCAAGAGAACACAAAAAGAAAACTTAAAAGATTCATAAAGAATAAGATATCCATCACTCCAGAGAGTTTTCCATGACATCAGAGGTAATTAAACGACATAAAATTCTTTGAATCATGATATTAGTTTGAATTTTTTTTTCTTTCTCATCCTGTAACACTTCTCTCAGCAGATTTATTTAATCTACTACATTTCTTCTTAAAAACTCAGCCTGTAACAGTTCCAAAAACCTGTAACAGTTATTCAGTCTATCTCATTGTGCTGCAATTAACTATTGCTTAGGTCAGTCCTTGTTCTTGATGACTCTCAAAATACCTTAAAAATCAAAGGAAATTCACTAGATAAACTATTTAATTTTGAACAATAATTTTTAAGTTCTTCAGTTTAATTTTTTTCTTAAAGATAAAATCGTGCTTGTAATAGTCAGTTTCCAAAATTAATTAACAATTTATTTACGATTATTTGAGAACAGATGGTAACTGGATTCTTAATTCAGTCAGTTTAAATAGCTCTCAAAGCACAAATTTATAAACGACGACCCTATGTGGGATTCACATTGTTTTAATTGACCTTATTAGATATAAAGAATAAGAAAAAAAATTCAATAAAATTCCAGTAAAACTAGTATTTGGTTAAACAGAGCTGCAAGCTAGAAAATAACACACTTCATTTTTAAAATAAGTGAAAAAATAGAATTGTCTAATGTTTGTTCATAACAATTTACAATGAATATTTTAGGAGAAAATTTTATTTTAAACGTCCTTCCTGAACTAAAAAAGTAAATTTTTGGACAATATTTAGGATTGGGTGTTAAAATTTTCCTTGTTATCGAATTCAGAAGTTTCAGGATCCTAACAGAAAGAGGTCTGAATTTATAAGTGAGACGTATAGTCTTTTTTTTATTTATTATTATTATAGATGAAGATCAGTCAGCAATATTTTTTCAAATCATGTTTCATGTATATACAAAGTGTTGTATGTTCTGCTCTTATATACAATTTTAATAAATATTCTTTTAAAAAGTGAGAATAAAAAGTAAAAAAAAAAACAAAAAAACTTCAGAACAAAAATTTAATTGACGGAAATTTGAAGATGTTTCTGATAATCCTCTTTTAACTTCTCTTTTCCTTTGTACTTGCTGATTGATAATTATATCTGTGTTCCTGCGATGACATTGGGCAGAGTTTAATAGTATTTTTATTTCCCCCTTTTAAATATAAATTTACGACCCTCGATGTTTGTGCTTTTTTAGCTTAGTTTTTAATAAGGATTCTAAAAATAAAGCATAGGGCTATCTTTACGGAGCATCTTGTATATATTTTCAGATTAAATGAAATAATTAGCTTTAAGGAAATGATTATATAGACTTAAAAAAATTTCTTTTATTTATTTATTATTATTTATTGCTAATGTACTTTATAAATCTTATATTAATCTGTACTGTATTTCTTATAGAAAAAAAGAAAAATCACTGACTGTTTTTGATCCAATGTAAGTTTTTTAGTCATTATTTTTTAGTATCATTGTTTACAATGTATGTATTTTTACTTCAAACAATGTTCATAATTTGAAACCTCTCGGCAGCGACCACGTCTCAGTAAAATGAACCTTCTTAGGGAATACTTTAATTGACTTCAAAATGTTATCAAAGTTAGATTTTTGCAACTAATATTAATTTTTTTGGTGCAAAAATATCACTTGTGTTCACATCATGAAAACAGGATTGAGGAATAAAGTTTAGTGTTAGTAAAAAGACCTTTACTGATATATTTAAGTTTAAAAACACTTTTACCAATTATGAATGATAGAACTATTTTAAATGAATAAAATATTATATTATTTTGTTTAAATTTGCATTTAGTTTTATATCATAAAAATTAAGAGCCACTCACAAATATTTTAAATACATTTGAAACTACTTATTTGTTTTGTTAATATTTTTTGTTTTGATATTTTTTTGTGTTTCCACATTTGACCTTTTCCGTATTTGGTTTAGATATTTTGCAAGGTTGTTGGGAGAAATTTTAATGATCTCTCTTAAAGGTTTTTCCAAAGTCTATGGAGAGAAAAAAAACGCAAACTTTATGGAAAAAGTTTCATGCCCCCTGAAGGTATAAATAAAGGCGGTCGCTGCACAACAGTGGTCTTTCCTGGAGGTTTCACTGTATTTGCATATTTTTTCTTAACACTTGAAAAATATGTGACAAAAAATATACATTAAAGAGAACTCTGAACTTGATGTAAATTTTGGGTTAAAAAAATTGCACAAAAATTTCTTTGAAGAATTTCAGATGCCAAAGTTTTAACTACTGTAGAAAAACATAAAAAATTCTAAAAATATTTTACTCAAAACTTTATAAAATTTATTGAAACATTAATTTTAATTTTTGCAAAGTTACATTATTTATTTAAATTTAAACCTAGAATCAGATTATTTCAATACAATTCTAAGCACATGCAAAAACAGGAACAGGAGGCATTGCAATTTTCTTATAGAAGCATGGGGGGGGGATTTGTAATTGCTGACAAGGTGAGTTTAATGTTACCAAAAACTTTTTTAAATGTCTAATTAAAATATTTTTTAAATGTCCTCTTAATAATATTTTATAGTTCTTTTTGTTGCAAAGAATTTAGGGAAAAAAACTAATTTTCTAATAAATTATTTAAAACTAACCCTGTGCATAACACATTTAGCATAAATAATAATTGCTTACGTATTTTCTTACTTTTCAGTGAACAACAGACAGCGGCTGAAGAAGAACTGGATGAGGATGATGATGATGCTTCCATTGCCCCCAAACTGTTTGTCAATGAGAATGGAGAAATCATAGTGGATGAGACTTCACTTGTGAGAGAGAGAAAGAAAACATTTGTAGATATGAATGCAGAAGCTGTCATACTAGACGACAGTGATGTCACGTATGCAACATTTCGTAGAAAGGTCTCCAAGAAGTGGTCTCCTAAGGGTATAGTTACAGTTTTTTTTCTTCTAAATACAATCTTATGTAATGTTTTTGCAGAGATACCGTATATTCCGGCGCATAACGCGCCCCGGCGTATAACGCGCACCCGTAATTTCTAATAACTTTTTTTAAATTTTAAGATATACTCTTCGTATGACGCGCACGAAAATTTGGATTGTACATGTGCAATATCTCGTCTAGTATCAATAGAGAACCAGAAAGCCTTTTAGTGTGGGACATGTTTAGGTACCACCTTACAGATAATCAAAAAAATTGTTGAACGAATGTAACACCGATATGGCAGTTATTTCGGGCGGATTGACACCATTAGTTCAGCCATTGGACGTCTGCTTAAACAAACCCTTTAAAGCCAATTTAAAAAAACAGTGGAACACTTGGATGTTGGAGGGCAAGAAAACCTTTACGAAAGGAGGACTTGTGCGTCATGCAAGTTTGGAAACAGTGTGCGAATGGATATTAAAAGTATGGGATGAAATTAAGCCTGAGATGGTTAGAAAATCATTCAAAAAATGCAGCATTTCAAATAATCTGGACGGATCAAAAGATGACTATTTATTTATGGATGAGGGTAACACAAATGATGAAGACGAATGGTGATGACGTGCCTGAAGAAATAACGGAAGACGAATATAATGAACTATTTATGTAATAACGAAAATCAATAAAGTATATAGGTAAAGGTATGTTATTTCTTTAAAATAAAAGTATTTTTCGATATTTAAATTTTTTCAATCTATAATTTTTTATATTCGGCGTATACCGCGCACCCGTAAATTCCAATGTTATTTTTTATATTAAAAGTGTGTGTTATACGCCGGAATATACGGTAGATAAAATAAAGTGAAAACTGTATATTTTTAATTAATATGACAATACAGGGTTGCCACTCCACAGGAAAAACCTGGAAAATACAGGGAATTTTAAAATCACCAAAAATAACAAGGAAAATACAGGGAATTTTGATAATTTTCTTTACAAACTGGGAATTTTGTTTCTCTTTTAAAAAATGGTGACCACTCAAAACGTAATCTATGGGATATTTAACCATGATATTTCAGCTATACTAAATTATTTTATTTCCTATAGCATTATTTAAATGTGTTCAGCTGTTTTTCCTGCAATTAAAACTAATAAGTATAGTTAGCCCAATATAGTTCACAGAGGAGTACAGTAAATATTGTTTCCTCTTAATATATTGTGTATAATATGTACAGGAAAAACACATGGAATTTTTTTTCCAGATTTGAGTTGCAACCCTGTAATAATATTATAACAATATAATAATACTAATATAATAGTAATATAAAATAATATTATTATTGTAATTAAATTTTAAAAAATTTGCAATTATTATATTATTATCATAAGAATTGAATTATTACAATAATGATAATATAATAATTATTAAAATAATCAGTGTTAAAAAAAGGTGTTATATTTTTATCTGATTCCTTATTTATGTGTCTTTGCAGGATCACTAACTCATAATTTTATTTAACTTATGTTTATTTTTTAATTTGTAAACATTATGCCTTTTGTTTCAGAAACTGTTAACTTTTATAAAGCGCTAAGTGTAATAGGAACCGATTTTGCTTTGATGGAAAGTATTATCCCTAATAGGACAAGGCGAGAATTGAAGGTTCGTTTGTTTTTTGTCTATTAATGACCTAACTCGATTCTTTTAAGTTCAAGTTTAGCAGATTGAACAATATATTAATGATTTCAGATAAAGTTTAAAAAAGAAGAAAAAATAAATATGGAACTTCTTCACAGAGCAATGTGTAAGTAACACTTATATTATGATTATAAATATTTGTAGTAAATGCTGTCAGTATGTACTAAAATTTTATTTATGTATGCCTCTTCCTTCAGATGAAACAGACACTTTTCAGTCAGAGTTGAGTGTCGAAGGTCTTGATTTGGAAGTCATTGATATCCCTGGATTGGAAGAAAGTGTTGCTGATAGTGCAGAAGGTGTGCATGTTTAACTTTTAACAATTTTTTTATACAGTTGAGTCCTGATTATCTGAGTTTCTGCTTTAATCAAGCTATCAAATATTTCAAGAAGTGTTTTGTTCAAGTTTATTTTTTATTTTTAAAACTACTGCTGAGAAAATCCTGAATTTTATCTTCCAAACACTCAGGAAAACAAGCTGACGGACTACAGGGGATTACAAATGAAATGATTGTTAATATTGTCAATAATGAAAATTAATCTAGCAAAGATGATGAAGACAGTGACAATTCAAATCAGCATACAAAACTCTCTCCAACAAATGGACTAAAAGCTACCGAAAGTGCTATTGAATATATAGAACAACGAGAAGAGGCGACACCAGCCTTCCTGTTATCTCTAAAAAAAATGGCACAATATTGCTGCAGAAAAGTGCCAAAGTAACGTAAAACAAAAACGATTAAGAGCTTTTTTTTTAAGTAAAAAACTCTTTAATTCTTGTAATGAATGCTCTTTAAGTGCTTTTAAGTAAGCTTTTTTAATTATAATAAGAATTGTACGTGGTGTACTTGTATAAATTTTGTATTTGTTAAATATATTATATTTATACCTTCTCTTTTTCTTTCCTTTTTTATACTTTTTGCCTTAACCGAGTTTTTCAGTTATCTGATTTAGTCGTGATCCACATTAACTCGGATAATCAGGACACTGTTGTATTTTATTGAAAGCAAATGAAGTAAAGATCCGAATTTTAAATAATGAAATGTGTTAATCAATAGTTTAGAGATTTAAATTTTATTAAGTAAATTGAAAGATAATAAATTTTAACTATCTGAGTAATATAACATTTCCAGGTTTGTTTGTTTTTTTTTTAACTTCAAGTTTTGCCCATATTTAATTTTCATTAATAATTTGATTTTTGTTTTGCTATTTAATTATTTCGCTTTAGTTTAAAAAGTGCTGTGCAAAGCAAATGAAATGCTCCTCTTAAATTTTGCAAAAGCTACTGTTACTGTTGTCAAAATGTTGTCAACCCTGATATTATATACATAAAGCATGTTGTATAATCCATATGCAATGTATAACATTTTCATTTGGAGACTCAAAAGGCCTTTCCTTTCCCAATTATCAGGAAAAATTGCCTTTCTGCTTAAGTTAAAAGGAGAGGAAAATCTTCTTTATTTAGCTCTATTTTATGGTCTAAATACCAGCCATTTTAACCATTGGACAATTTTATATTTACATTAGTTTACACCTAATGTTACGCGTTTAAGAGCTATTATGTCTTTATCTAAACAGTCTTTAAAAAGGAATATAATGTATTGAAATAGTATTTATTTATTTTATTTTTTAAGAGAAATTTCTGTAAATAGTTGTGTGTGAATAAATTTAAAAAAAAAAAAGAAAAAAAATGTGCTATTTTAGACTTATTTACAAAATTATATTTGTATTAAAACTTATAAATTTGAGAGTTTATGTTTTTATAGCTTCTAATGGAAAAAAGCATAGAAAAAGAAAATCTCAAGTTTTGTCAGAAATTGCAAGCAATGATGGTTCCAATGAAAATGGTATTTAGTTTTATCTAGTTACAACTCTTCTTATTTAACGAAACTCTATTTTAAATCCAATCTTTTATTTTCATTTGATTATATTATTTTCTGTGTAAGGGAAAGTTGGAAAAAAAAACTGTGCAAGTGTGCCTATTTGTCTTTCTGGACCGTTTAAATTATTCCTTATTATTCAAAATTCTTCAATTCTAATTTATTGAAATATTACTCTTGTTACCTCTAGGAAAAATATTTTCCAAAACTAACAAAATTCTATGTATGTGGGAGGGTTTTATATTGTGTGTATAAATAAACATACAGTAACAGTTCGATATAATCTTGTACAACATATTACAAGAATGGTGCTGTTATAACAAATTTAAAATTTCCTTCCAAAATTCTAATGTTAAAGGTATGAATATTTGTATGTTTTGACAATTTCAAAACTGCAAGACTTCTGATATTATGACAAAAAAAAATTTTTTAGGTAGCTACATTTTTTTTCTTCTGTTTAATGGGTAATGTTCTGTAAAAAAAAGGTTTAAATGAAAAATGTTTTTATTTTTTTCGGGTATTAATACAGAAAATCAAAAATCTCACATTGTTTTTTACCACCTTATTTTTTAGAAGTACTGTAGGCTGACCACCAGTTAATTATTCTTCATTAATGAATGAAAATTTCTATTTTTAAAATTTTTTGTCATGCACTTCAAAGGAATGCCTCTTTGTGGATCACATTATGTGCCATTTCATCATGTTTATTTCTTACAGAACAACTTACTGTTAAAATCAACATTTCCGTATCATTGATTGCATTTCATTTACTTACAAAAATTTGTTACTGTTTCGAAATTTGTTGTTCTAACATTTCTCTTCTAGAAATTTTGGTCTTTTATAAAATACAGTGCTATATAATTCATTCTACATTCTTCAGATAAAAAAGTCTACTCTAAATATGTATTCTTAATCAAAATAGTTAGCTCAAAATGAAAGCAAGCAAAATAAATATTTCCATTTAATTCCTAATCTTTTTAATGCTTTTTTTTACATTAACTCTATGTATTTGTTCATAGCAATAATTTATCTTCCGTTATAAATTGTCATTATATGACGGTCTTTTTCTGCTAGTACATTAAACATGCATGTATCTATATACATGTATGTGTGTGTATTTATATATATACAATATAGGACTCCAAATGCAGCACTCACGGGGCTGACGAAATTATGTATTCAGAATTTGCCAGATTTCGAATCTCTTTCGGAAATTCCAATATAGTGCCCATATGTTAGGATAATTCAGTTATACTGTTAATTTCAGAAAAACCAATAAAACACATCCAATAAAAAAAATGCTACAAAAGGGATAGAATTCCTTTTGTACTCCATGTGGTAGTTTCTATGTCAACTGGATGTGATCAATTTATGGTCAAACAAGGAGATTGAAATGTGGGGACAAACCAGAAGAGCATGTGCACAACTGTCAAGATTAATTAATCAGTTTCTCCCAACTTACATTTTTTTTTTGTTTATTGGAAATGCTGTTTCATTTGACACATATTAATTTATTATTTTTTCATGCTTTTTTTTTATTTTTAAAAGATAAAATGAAGTTACAGACTCCCACAGAATAAAATTCCAAATAAGGAGAGAATGTAACTGATTTTGTTTTCTCTTATCAATTAAAATTTCTTTAAAAAAAAATTGATCAAATTGAGTGCTGGATTTCGGGATGCCAGGTTAGGGGTCCCATACCGTTTATATATATACACACACATAAATATACATGCATAATTACATCTAGTTTAATGTATATTTTCCCTAATTCTCAAAAACAGATTCTCAGCCTTTCAAGAAGGGCCGTGGACGCCCTAAAGGAAAGAAAAATGCTTGCAACACCTCTCATGCTGAAAACTCTTTTCCACCTATTGAGCCAGGTAATTATTTCACTAATTTAATTCACTTCTAGAATTAATTTCGAGTTTTATACTTGCTTATCAATTTGAACTTTAAACAGACATGGCAAGTTTCTTATATAGAGGAAAGAACTATGTAAGAAATTGCAATGAAAGAAATAGGTTTCTTCAAACTCGAGTGGAAGAAACTCATTTTCATAACGTAATATCAAATATTAGGGCAACTTTTATAAACAGTTTATAATTGTATTCTAGTTCAGGAACTTTATTAAGCTCTTTAATGAGCCAATTTGAAGTAAAGGAAAACTGGGAAGAAATTTGTATTTTATGAATTTCTAAAGAGTTTTAAATGTTTACATTTTATGTCAATTTGCATTGTAGAACTTAATTTCATAATTATATAATAAAATTGTTAAAATATAATTATCAAATTTTATTACTGATATTAATTAGCTAATCACATATATTTATATTGCTGGAAATCACTTATTGAATTCTGTATTGTAAATAATAATTATTTTTATCTTCAAATGCTGTTAAATATGAATACTCAAACCGAATCTTAAATAATGTGATTAGTTGCTGATTTTGAAATTCTGTATAAAACTAAGATAATATGAATGTTTTTATTTTATGAAGAAAAAATTACTTCTTTTTATAACATAAAAAATTTTAAAACTCTAAATTCAGAAAACTATATTAAATTTAATTTCTTTAAAAATTAAGTTATTCTTATAAAACTTGTCTAAATGATAATTGATTAATAAAAATATTGTGTTACCTAAATGATAATTTTAGTCATTTTTAGTTTCTTCTAGACAAAATGCCAACTCTGACTTTTAGATGAAGTTGGCTAAAGATTTTGATACACTTTTTAACTTGCATTAGATCAACTTCTATTGGCAGAATAACAATTTATTTTGTTGCAAAACCTCAATTAACATTCTATAAATAATTTTTTGCAAATTATTATTTAGTTCTACTTTTCTATTTTTTCCCCTGTCTACAGCTATGTTATGATACCTCTATCGTTGAAATATAAATTTTCTCCCTTGTTTTATTTTTTTTCTTTCAAGATGATGATTGTAGTGTAGAGTCATCGCCTCTTGTAAGAAAAAAGAGAGTGACAACTTTGCTGAGAGATTCTGTGGAGCTTAGCGGTAAGCAGTGCTATCTAAAAAAAAAAAAAATTGCAGTCTTTTCCCTTCTGTATTAATTTTTGAGGAGTGAAATTTCAAAGAATGTATTGAACTTCAAAAAAATAAATCAGATTCGTAAATTACTATAATTTTATAATACGTATTATTTTATAACTAAAATATAATTAAGATGAAGTTTTTAACTAGAAAAACATTATTTCTAATTTGTTTACATTCTTTTCAAATGAGTTAGACTATAGTTTCATTAGAAACAGAACTTATTATCAAAGATCTGTGTGACCCAATTTTATAAACTGCAATATTTCATAAATCCCTCTCAAATTTGCTGATATCAACAACAAAAACTGCATTGAGGAAAATTCTTTAACTGAGCAAGATCTATCAACAGTTCACTGGATTAATCGTTTGTTAAAAGATAAAAAGTCTCTACTACAAACCAAAATTAATAATTTTTTGTTGTTGTATAACCTTTTGACCTGTTAATAAAATTTAGGAAAGTGCATGTTTTTATATTTTAAAGTAATTTACATCTAAATATCATTTCTATAATAAAGTTTGTAATTTTATATGGCCATATACAAAATTTGAGCAAAATCGTTTGAATAATTCCTGAGAAATCAAGTTTTTGGATCTCTCTTCTGACTAACCTATGGGGTCCACATTTTCCAGATTATTGCTACCCGCTATATTTTGGGGGTCAGAAATCCGATCTTTTGAGAGAAAAAAAGACATGTTTGTTCAAAGAAGGTACAATTTTGTATCTGATTTTGTAACTTAAAAATATCATTTGCCCTAACTTATTAACATATTCAACGTAACCTCCTCGAAACATTACATTTGAGTCCTAGTACGTGTAGATCCAATCTTTAAATCGAACGTTACTTATGGTGGTCTTCTTTTATTTTGTGCATTGTACATTTTAATTCATTTTATAAAATTTTGAATACTTCGAAGAAATTTAAGTTTCGTTTAAAATTTTTCAAATATAACTTTTATTGTTACTTTTTACTTAATCTAAGTAAAATGTGGAGATAATTAGATTTTAGTACATTACATTATCTATCCCCCTTGTCCACAAAAATTAGCAAATGGCAACCCCTCCCCCATAATACTTGAATAACTCTCTTACAATATACCAGTCTAAATTGACTTCACATGCTGTTCAAGTGCACAATGAGCTGAAATCAATCAGACGGTTACAGCAAGAGCTATTTGAATTTTCTGTTTGTTGTTTTATTAGGAAAAATGAGCGGTAGAAGAAAATCTTACTAAAACATGTTCTTTTCCTTTCTTCTTTATATGTTTCTTTTATCAATTTATATTTTTAAATATTTTGTTTGTCTGTATTTTTGCGTTTTGTGCGTGCCTCTTTGTGAAATTTTCTGATCTATCGCTACTGCTTAAGCTGGGAAAAAGTATTTTTGTTAATGTTTATGTGGAATTTTGAGAAGTTAAAGGATTCAATTATAAACCAATCTCTTACTCCTGTTTACAATTTCAAAAATTTTCCTCTGATTCTCGACCTTTTATTAGAAATATGCAATATTTTTTAAACATTTCATTTCCTGATAAACATTTCATTTAACTCTTTAGATAATGCAATAATTGAAGATGATGAAGCATCACCAATTATGAGAAAAAAGAAAACAAGAATTTTGTCTCAAAGTTCCCAAGAAGGTATTTCCTTTTTTAGTTATCTTCTTCCTTACTCTTTCCGACAGCTGAGTTTAATCGTTTAATTTAAACTGTTGACTTCCTAAGATAGACTGTTTAAAAAGTGATAAAATTACGTGTTTCATGCGATGTGATCTCTCCATATAAGAAAAAGCAAAGTATACAGAACATGATAGGAAGCATGTCCTTTCTACTATGTCTATTAATGCGAGTGTCCTAAATCTTTTCATGACGGTTTTTATTTTAATTACTGTCCTTGAACAGCCGTCCTGATTTTTTTGAATTTGTGACTACCAATGTTCAACTCCATGGCCTCGTAATTTTTAACCCAATCCACAAGACAAGGGAAATCCTGGATAAAGTATTGGGTCAAATATTGCTTTCTGAGTGGACTTTTTGATGGAACTATACCATAATTGTGTTACGTAAAGGGGAGAACCACAAAACCTCTCGCAGTTAGCCTGATTGCAAAAGGACTCTAGCCTATGATATGGATATTTTTACATCCGCCCTGTGGTCAGTGCAAGCCTGGTGGGGAATTCATATTGACCAGTCATGGCTGGGATTCCAATACAATACACCTCGTTGAGCAAGCACTCTATCCCCTGAGCTATCAAGGCTCTGAAATCATTAATTATAATTTTTATGCTGTATTTCCTCTTTCAATGCTGTAAGACTTAAATGAAAATGATACTAAATCACTCATCAATCCTGACACTATGCACAATAGAGAAGTACCTAAGTTTTTCTGTCACTCTGAAGGTGTTTCAAACATGTGACAGAATCATTGGATGAAATATGTGAACATGAAGATGGAAAAGAAAGTATCCGAACAGCGGGAAAGTTCAGAATACATTATGCCTCATTTCTCTAAAGTAAAATCAGACTTTAGTTGTGTAGTGGAAACAAAAAGGAACGTTAACAATACATTAATCTAATGAACCCTACTTCATTAAAATCTTTATTAGCAGCTGTAAATACCCTACCAAAAAAAATTGAATGGTTGGCTGGGTAGATTGTAGGTGGGACGCGATGTGCAACTATCTTCACTTCACTAGTTTTCTTTTGTTCTGAAACATAATAAGGGAGGTAAAAATGAAGAAAAATGGGTGAACTTTGTTTATTTCTAAAATGTTGCACAAAGGTAAAGAATTAAAATATTAAAAATTATTATTACAAGAAGTAAATTTTCGCACTGAAATGTTCCGAAATTAAAAAAAAAAAAATTACTTGCTCTAATATATACAAAATGTGTATCACTAACATTAGTGAATTTAAAGTATTTTTGACCCATCTTAATATCTATCAAAATCTTTTTTTATTTACAGATGATTATTGTGAAATTCAAGTTCAAATAAATGCTTTGACTGATGAAGATATATATAATCCGAATGGTTGGTATTGTATTTTCTATTAAACCAATTTATTTATACTGTTATTAGTCATATTCTACATTTTTGACAGGCTACATTTTTTTCTGCAAATTACAAGGTATGTGTCAATTCAATTAATATTATATGAAGTATACATTTTAGCCTGTAAGTTACAACAACTATTTCATCTCAGTAGGCAACTTACAAATATCTATGTTTTATCTTGTTTTCTCCTGCTCTTATCCTTAGATCTATTGACATTGTGAAATTATAAATGTTGAATTATAAATGTTGAAACGGTAAAAAAATGAAAAATAATAATAATTAAAAACAATTTACATTAAGCTGAGCAAGACTAAAGGAATTAAAAATGAATTTTTTATTAAATGAAAATGAATGTGCATAATCTATTAATGATAATCAAATTTCATTATTAATAACTATACCTTTATTGAAGCATTATAGGTGGGGGGAGGGAAGCTATTATAGTTTGTAATGAATGTTGAATATTTATAGTTAGCTTTATATATTTGTTTCCTTCCATCATAAATTAAAGGCGGTTTTTTTATTTTATTTATTTATTTATTTTTAGATAACTCAAATATTTATTTGCAATCATCATCTAGTTTAGAAAATAATGCAGAAGGCAACATACGTGCTGAAGAAAGTGGTAATTGATATGATTTTCATAGTTATTGTCGTACTTTAATTAATAAGTGTTGATTAATACAAATGGTTGAGTTTATTTCTAAAGAAGCATACAGTAAACCAACTGTTCCCAACTTTTTTAATTATAGGGATATTAATTTTTATAGAAAATTTTGAAGCTCACTAACTCTACTAAATATACAACTAAAGATATAATGATAAGTAGACACTTATTATAGGCATATGATGTTTATATATGTGTGTATATACACATCTTCTTCCTAATCTCCAAAATTAGCAGGGCTAAACAATGTTCATGAAATTTATGACCCGAAGGAAGTCGGCCACCAAAAATGGGTTTTCTAGAATGTCTCTCTTGTCCAGTCCAGGATATGTTGTGAAGAAGCCTGCGTGTTGTGGCACCTGGGGCAGTTTGGGAAGATTTTAACACTACCCTCTAAAGAAATAGACTTAAGGTGGCCTCTGGTAGGCCTGGTAAGCGCCATCTGATCCTTGCGGTTGCACCAAATGTTGAGTGCACCTCCTGGATGGGTGCTCTGGTACCAGTGATGTTTGAGGGGTATGATCCAGGAAACATTGTCTTCTTTTTTCTTTTTCGATGCCAGTTCCATGAAGGTAAATGAATTTGGACTCATCGAAGTTTCTTCTGTCCCCTCCTTAGCCAGAGTGTCGGCGATATCATTGCCCAGAACCGGATCCACTGGAGGTGGACTTCACGCAGTCGTGAGAGGAATTTAAGTTTGTGCAGGGTTGAAGCTCCTCTTTTGCCTCTCACCTTCCTCCAATGCGATAAGTACTGTATGGAGCTGAGACTGTCTGAGAGTATCCTGATATTATTGTGATCCTATGTATGTACACATAAGAAGCATATATGACTGTAATTTGTTACAGATACTGTACAGAAAGAATTGAAAACTATTTTTTTATAGAGGAAAAAACTTTATTGTAATCTTAGCTATCAAAATTGTAAGAAAACTGAAAAACAAGTCATCAAAATTTTTAAAAAATAAACTTAAATGGGACGACAATGCTGTTTATACTCCACGATAGAATGGCCCTGCAAATCATTAAAATTTAATCAAGTTGTTCGAAAGTTTATTTATTTTTATTCAGAGCAAATGATTTCTGAAGTAAACAGAGAACAGGGATGAGATTTTTCCGCTTTTTAGCGAGTTTCCACTTTTTTCACTTTTATCTCTTGAATTTTAGCTTTTTTATCAAAAATTCAGATTTTCTAAACATTTCACTTTTTTTTATAAGTATTCCGCTTTTTCAGAAAATTCACCGATTTTCAAAGAGAAGCAGAAAATTCAAACTACATAGCTACCAATCCTTTCTCATTCTTATTTTAGCTATTTTCTCCCTTTTTAAACGCAGCAGATAAGATTTTGTGAATTTTTTACCGCCCTCCAGATAGATCCGATTTTCGTAGTTCAAACGACACTGCTTTTGACAAGCCTTTTAGAGGTCCCGAGCCTGGAATCTGCTAATATCTCGATTCTTATTCAGACAATTTTAATATCAAACATAGCTTTTCATATTTGTATTTACGCATTTTAAAAATTCGTTGCCCCAGTTTGAATTTTCTCATTTTCAAAATCGTATATCTAGTTTCATATTCATGTGATTTCAAAAGCCATAATCAGGGCTAAAAATTAACGGTGGTCCGTTGGTCCGTGACCACTAAAATCGGAGTCGAACCAGCATAAAATAATAAACAGTGGTCCGCCGGACCACCATCTGCCGAAACGAGAATATAAAAGGAAAAGAAAGACATTTTCACCAATTCATCGATACAGTCATCATGGCAAATTTAGTGGCAATTTGTAGGAACTGAAGCCACTAGTGGATAACTCTTTGCAATATATAGATTCACAATTGTCGACAAGCAGAATTCAATTTTAGATCTTAGTGAAGCTAATGGCTTCACATCCATCAAACAGCACAGTGGCTTACTAAAATAAAGTTCATCTGCCAGTGAATCATCAAGTCACTACTTCTGATCACTGCAGTGGATTCTTAAGTTAGATTGGCGAAGAAGAAAAGCATAGAAAGCAAGAAATGGACACCCAGCAGTATTTATCCTGCAATCTAATTTACATGAATTTGATGCCAAAAACTAAACGTTTAATATTAACTATTAGTAATCACCAGGAAAGATTAAAATGTTTGAAAATATATATATAATCTATGAGAAAATAGATAAATACATGGAATCACTAGGTAAGATATATATCCATGCTATATATTGTGACAGTTCTGGCTTTTCACCATGATTAATCATCTCATACAACTACTAAAAGAGGTATAAACAAAGTTCTCTATAATAAAGAAAGCCCTAAACTTAGATAAGTAATTGCATCTTTTTTAATTCAGAGGTCGGCAGAACTTTATATAGCAAAAACTAAAAGATCAAAGAATTTAAGATTTAGAATCATTAACTTATTAATGAGTTAATGATTCTAAAAGATTTAGAATCATTAACTTATATTACGAATTTTAAAATGTTTTCTTTTTATGTCTGAAAAACACAAACGTAGTAGAAAATTTTTCTCTTGGGATGGTATGAAGTTAATTCAGAAACCATATGTTTGTAAATAGAGTTATAGAAGTGCTGAATTTCTCTGATGACTTAAGTAACCTGTTTTCTATTTTGATCATCATATTTAGTATTTACATGATTTTTTCTAGTCAACGAGAATGTCTGCTTAGAATCATCCATTAATCCTGAGGAGTCACCCACAGAATATACTGGTAATTATCATTTGATACTATTTTAACATTGAAAATTAACTTTAAAAGTGAGTCATTTACTATTGTAACTTGTGTTCTTGTATAACTCTCATTAATCTGATTCACCTGGCAGAAAGTGAGTTTAAGCTGGAGTTTGATTTTAAGAAGAAATAAAAATTATAGTTATTACAAATTAAATAGCTTAAAAGATATAACCTCGTCATTGCTCACATGATTATATCCGCAAAAAGCAGTGCTTTCTAATATTGTATTTATATAGCCGAAGCAAAATGTATCAATCAATACACTATTGTATTGATATATTTTGCTTTGGCTATATTAATACAATATTAGAAAGTATTCCTTTTTGCGGACATAATCATGTGAGCTCATGACAAGATTATATCTTTTCATTATTTTGTTTTCCAACTTTATATACGTATATATATATATTAAAAAAAGGAAAAATTTCAATATTTTTTAAAAATATCTTATTTTAAAAAATTTTCTCCTCCTCTTTTTATTAATCTTTATTTTATTATTCTCCATGTTTTTTTCCATAACTTATACACTTTAACTTATTTTATGATTTCTTTATACTTGCAGCTTATGCGCAGTAAATAAAAAAACTCATTGATTTTCTTAGTTTTTACGTTTTTTTTTTATTTATATATCCTATTCTTCCTTTGTATTTGTAGGATTATCAACATATTCTTATGTTAGACTTCAAAAGTTACCAATCCCAGAAGAAATGATTTCTTTAGCAAGCAAAAGTCCTCTTAATTCGAACTCTATACTTGAATCTCCAAAAACTGATCATGGTCCATTAGAAATATTGTCAATAAAAAAAGAGAAATTAGGATCACCTTCTCTTCCCATGAGAAACGAATTTCTTTCACCTGCAAATAAGCAAACAGAAACACCTACCACACCTGAGCCCCCGATTTCCAAATCTTCCAACAGTCCAGTTAATCCTAAAGCTACTCTTCAAAGAGGTAGAAAACTCAATATAAAACCCAATGTAAAATTACAAAAATTTAAAAATGTGAGTTCAGAAAGTACAGCTCTTTCATCATGCAATGATTCTCCCAATGTGGAATCTATAGGCTGTTCCGAAACTGTAGTCCGTGATCCAATAGACATAATATCGGTTAAGAAAGAAAAATTTAAATCGACTTTGCAAAATGAACCTATAAATAAACAAACTGAAAAAACTATAGCATCCAAACCCTCGATTTCTGTATCCTCTAGCGACTCTAGTACTAAAAGTGCTTATCAGAGAGGAAGAAAGCTCAATGTAAAACCCAATGTCAAATTACCAAAATGCAAAAGTGCCAATCCACAGCCTGTTAAATTTGAGCAGGAAGTACGAACTGATTATAATGATCCAGAATCTCTCACCGTCATCAGTATTCTTGATGAGCAGGTTTTATCAGAAGGGGCAACTGATGTTGTCACGACACCTGCTGTGTCCAGAAGACAAAAAACTAAAGGAGCTCTTAAAGGATCGCCTGATAATAACCAAAAACGTTCACTTCCATCATCGTTTAGCTATACTCCTGTGATGGAACCAGAAACTGATCCACCCTGCGTACGAGAGTCGTCGACTTCGCGGGACGAGCCACGGTTTGTAAGACAACCTAGGCAGCACACTCACTCTCGTACACAACCGCAAAATAACCAAAACTGCTTACTGCCATCGTCAGTTAACTATACTCCTGTGATGGAACCAGAAAGTGATCCGACCTGCGTACGAGAGTCAACTTCCTGTGATGAGCCGCGGTTTGTTAGACAACTTAGGCAACAAACTTACTCTCGTATGCAGAGTGATGCACCACTCGCAAATGTTGGAAGTCCTTCTTACAACATTCAGGCCTCTCCCAGTTTAGTGAGATCTTCATCTAGTCCACTTGTTACAACGTTAAATACCTCTTCAAATAGAATATTGTCCATTCCTATAACGCCAGAAATGAGCGGAGGGAATGAAACTGTGATGATTGTGAATCCCTCTCCAAATGGAAAAAGCTTCCACTTCTTTGTGCCTAATCTAGCGGGTAGCACGCCACTGCCTCCTGAAGTTTCAGCACCACCTTCCAGAATTCGAAGACCTGACTCATTCTCGTTAGTTGAGTAGTCTAAGATTCCAATTAAATTATTTATTTAATTACATGCTTGTTATTTGTTCAGACATGTTTAATATTCTTATTTGTACTTATTCGTTGACTGGATTCCAGGGGAAGATCCCTGCACCAAAATTATTGCCGAGTTTTTAAAGTTTTATTTCAAAGTACAAAGTCAAAATTAAAAAAAAATTTTATGGGCACATGGGCAGTTGTAGCATTTTAACAATGGCCACTTTCTTAAAAAATATTGCACTTTTATATAATTAAAAAAAACTTAATTTTAATTATAAAAGGCATTACTTTTGAAGCTTTTATTTAATATTCTTATCCACTTATTTGTTTACTGGATTCCAAATGAAAATTTCTGCACCAAAATGATTGCCAAGTTTTAAAAGTTTTATTTCAAGGTATAAAGCAAAATTAAAAAGAAATTTTTTTTTCATCACATGGCAGGTTGTAGCATTTTAACTGTGGCTACTTTTTAAAAAAATTTACTAAACTTTCAAATAATTTGAAAAAAACCTGCTGTATTCATTATAAAAAGCGTTTCTTTCGATTCGAAGCGTTTCACAACTATTGTAAACATTGCAAGGTTCATTTCTAACAGTAAGTTTTGAGAAACAAGCATGAAATAAAATAATTTTCAGTATATTATAAAGTATTCATAATAATTCTATATTTATATATTAAAATAAATATGGAAATAATATTTATAATATTTTTTTAGTCTATGGTTTATATTAAAAAAATAATAAAATTCATGAGGTGCATTGTCTATGGCAGTGATTCTCAACCTTTTTTTTGTTGCAGCACACTTTTAAGGATTTCAAAATTTGACGGCACACAATGAAAAAATTAGATTAAAAGTTGTTTAATTACCTATTTTACACTGTGTTAAATAGTTTGTGATAATANATTTATAATATTTTTTTAGTCTATGGTTTATATATTAAAAAAAATAATAAAATTCATGGGGTGCATTGTCTATGGCAGTGATTCTCAACCTTTTTTTTGTTGCGGCACACTTTTAACGATTTCAAAATTTGACGGCACACAATGAAATAAATTAGATTAAAAGTTGTTTAATTACCTATTTTACACTGTGTTAAATAGTTTGTGATAATAATTTTGAATGTGAAATAAAATAATATGTACTACAAAAGCACATTTATTAAGGGATGAATTATTTCTTTCGACTAATTTTTTATTAGTTAGTAACAGTTATTTAGTTTTTTGCTAGTTATTAATTCTTAGCTAGTTTTCTATAGTTATTAACTGTTAGGTTTTTTTACATTAACTGTTATTTTTTTGTGATTTCTTGTTAACTAGTTTTTTTACTAATTATTAATTGTTAGCTTAATTTTTTTAGTTATCCTTTGTTAATTTGTTTTTTATAAATATTTTTTAGTTATCCTTTGTTAATTTGCTTATTAATTGCATAACTTACTTTAATGATTAGCTCTTACACCATTTTTTAAAATTGTGTGTCATATACAATTTAAATACTTCCATCTTATTTTAAGATTGTCAGAGACAAGACAATCGCCAACAAAGTTGTTCACGTGGTTAAAGCGCGAAAAAATTATAAAAAGTATATATATACACTTTTCTTTAATTTAAACTTTACTCTTAATAAAAAAGGCATTATAATTTTTATTGTATCATTTCTAATATTTGGCGGCACATTTTAAGAATTTGGCGGCATGCAAAAGTGTCGCAGCACAGTGGTTGAGAATCACTGGTCTATGGGTTGTGAATGGCTAACCATTTTTTTTTTAATTTTGCTTTTTATTTTAAAATATTATTTATTAGTAAAAGGAATAGTTACTGTGATACAGTTTCAAGTAAATGAACTTAGCTTATTATTTTTAAACTGCATCTTAAGTTGAATTTATTTTCAGTAATTTTAATAGATATATACGATGTTATGCCAGCTGCTTAAATTGATTTCTTTTCCTTTATATTTCATTTTTTTCCCGTTAATTGAATGTAATAAAATGTAAGTCCATCTGTATCAAATAACTAAACAGCAGAATGCATTAGTGATAAAGCTTGCTAATTTCAGCAAAGTTTTATCTGGGACCTAGCTAATAAATAAGTATTTATTTTTCTAGTACTTTTTGTAAATTATTTTGTTCGATATCAATAAATGCAGGAAAAAGAAATATGATTGAACGACATTTTAAATAAGGCTTAAAAGTTTGTACATAATATATCTGAAATAAGAAGGGTAATCAAAAAACTTTTTTTTAGTTCTTTTTACTTGTTTATTGAGTCGAAATAGTAACCATTTTGTTTGTAACTTTGAAAACCCTACTGTGCACTGTTTACTCGACTCTTGTTTCTCAAAGTGATTCAAATCCATGCAAAAGGGCGCTAATAAATCCCATAACAATATTAAAAAAAACTTTTAAGGTTAGCAAGAAAGTTTAGATTTTGATTTTTTAATGTGAAATAAAATTCGGTTTTATTCTACATGAATGATATTTCAATCAATTATCTTCCATTCTGTTTGACAATCTTTTGCCATCTTTTTGGTAACTTCATGCTTCTGCACTTCTTGTCGTTATCAACAAAAAAACTCAACCAAGTGCAATTTGTGGTCATCATTATTAGTGAAATTTTTATCATTTAAAATGTTTTGTGAATTCCCAAATAAGGGATAATTCGATGCAACATGACTCCCTTGTGATCTCCCATATAGTCTTTCACCATTGAATTGTCATTTATTTAGAAAATATTTTAAATGGTAAATATATATCCTTAATAACGATGATATCTGATCATATTTTGTTGAGTTCTTTTGCTGATAAGGACCATAAGTTCTATGAGCTCAGGATCATGAAGTTACAAGAATAATGGCAAAACAGAACGACAGAATATTTGACCAATTAAAGTTCTTGCAATATAATAGCAATGCCAAAAACTAGCATAGCAACATTAAAAATTGCCATAGTTTTTACTGTACATGTAAATTATATTAAACGCGAGTAGAGATAATGTTTTGAAAACAATTATGTTTAATAACTTTCTTATTGATTACAAATAATTTACAAATTCTTATTATTTTTGAAAATCACTTTCATGTGCAATGAAAATATTTTTAAGGTATTCTTGAAAATAATGTAAAGAAAAAATTTTTTTTATATGAAGTTAGCATTTATGTAAAATTTTAAAAGAAATTTTACCTAACTATGCCAATTTTTTTTTAAATCTATTTTTTCTGAGGGGGAAAATTATTACAAATAGTTTATTGTAAGTTAAATTTGATATTTATTCCAAGACATTTTTCCCTAAAATATCTTAAATATATTGGCTCAATAAAACATGTCTTTACTGGCATACTATATTGTAGAATAAATGAAAGCTTAAGCGAAAATTAATCAAATTAATAAAAATTCAGTAAAAAGTTAATAATTATGAAGAGGTGCCAGCCACTGCGATTTCATAGTCAATAATACTGTCTTACGTTTTCTGAAGTTTTTTAATTGACAAGTACATCTTTCATATCAGTTTTCTTGGGATTATTCAAGTTTTAACTAGTTTTAATAAAGAAGTAATAAATTTCAATTTGTGTTATAGTGAAACTTTACCCATTTCACTTATGTGTTATTTTTTAATTTCATTAATAATTGATTAATGAATAAATGTATTTGTAATCTGAGATTCATTATGAAATATTGACATTAATTTATTTGTCCTATTGAGAAATATTTAAAAAAAAAATACTAACATCACTTTTGTAGTAAATACTGAAATCATGTTGATTTGTGTAAATTTTGTTATGTCTATTTATAGTTTAAAGATTTTTTATCTAAGTAATTTGTATAAGATTATTATGTAAATAAAAAATTTGATTCAAACATGTTGTGGCATCTTTAGCCTTGGAACTGTGAAGGATTTTTTTATTGATTCCATTTTGCTGTGCCAGAGTTATTCCCAATTTTCTACTCACATTTCTTTTTTAAAAATTTTTTTAGTACAATAAAAACTCGATATAACAAGCCTGGCATTTAATAAGAAGAATATGTGGGCAAAAATGTTTCTAGGTGTGCATTTTAAATCAAATAAGAGTATCAAACAAAAAAAATTCACAACATTAAATGTGTGCGTTTGCTAATAACAATAACCTCGTTATAGCGGAAATACTATTATAGCGAACTTTTACTGTATTTATATCCTATCCTAATTGACATGATGTTGATGCCATCATATATTATTAAAAATTTACCTTAAAATTCCTCCTAATGCAATAATGTATTATTACTTCAAAAAGTAAAAGATTCAATCATTATTTTAATGAGTAGTCATTTGATGCTGTCGATCTGTGAATTCTTACAATCCACTGGTATGAGCAGCAAGGACCCAATGGTCACTAAAACTGGTCGAAGCATTCCGTAAATAAACAACCGAACATCATTGAATACAGATAAGTTTAAAAAAATACTCACGCCGGCAATCATACTCGAACCCCGGTCCCGCAGTGGACTGATTGTTAAGACACGGTTCCCATCAGATCACCGAAGTCAAGCATCACTGGCTGCGGTCAGTGTGCGGGTGGGTGACCCGCTTGGATCAGCCTGCGTTGGGACCGAGGGTGTGCGGTGTTGGTCCTCGTTAAACTGTGCTACCGTAAAGTGCTCGACTTCGCGTGCAGGTCGTCGGGCTACCGTAGCGGGGGTGGCATCCCCTCTGCAGAGGATCAAAATTGTGATGGCATGTCTTCGGATCATCCTCCGGAATGTTTCCCAGACCGTCGCCAATAGCCCATCCTAAATCATAAACTGGTAAAAAAAAAATCCTCATTCTCGGAAACTCTGTGACCCTTCCATGGAATCCCAGTGTTCTGCAGAACACCATTTGGGAACCGCTGCAGCAGATAAATTCGATATAAATATCTCGGTGTCGTTTTACTACGAACCATTTTCAAATTAATCATCTAAATGTTAATTACAATTGAATTTGAGTTGTATTCTTCGATATACGTTATTAAAGCTTAATTTAGAAGAGCCATGAGAGATAAGTGAATTTTTTTGTTGAAAAATTAGTTTAAATAAAGCCAAACTCCCAAAGTAAAAAATTAATTTAAAGATTAAATCAAAGATGAATAAAAGATTAGTTCATGTTGCCCATTTCATTTCATAATAAAATAATTTAACTAAATTAATAAAGAAGCGATAACTACCAGGTAAATCAAATAAATACAAGATTTCTACAGACTGATTGATTTATTCGGAATAAAATCGTATTAAATTTTTTTTTTAAATTCTTGACTGATATCACAAAATTTGTAGTAACACATTCTAAGTTTACTTAAACTGTAAAGAGTTGTAGTTGCAGTTTATTTACATCGCACTAGAGCTGCACAATGGGCTATTGGCGACGGTCTGGGAAACATCCCTGAGGATACTCCGAAGACATGCCATCACAATTTTGATCCTCTACAGAGGGGATGGCACCCCCGCTACGGTAGCCCGACGACCTGCACGCGAAGTCGAGCAGTTTAACGAGGATCAATACTGCGCACCCTCGGTCCCCACGCAGACTAATCCAAGTGGTCACCCACCTGCACACTGACCGTAGTGTAGAATAATTATTGTAGAATAGTTATGCCACAGTTAAAGTAAAAACAATTCTGTTACATTGAACGAAACCACATTGATGCGAACACATTATATAATTTTCCAATATTAATAAATTCCCTTAATAATAACCCTCGAAAATGTCACTTTCCTAATTCCTCTACCTCCACCGCATGGATGACTTTTACGAATCTCCAGGTTTTAAGAAAGAGGAGTTCTTATTACTGTGAAGAGGGCAGTTATGACTTAGTCTATGAGTCATAGCTTTAAGATTGGAGCACTTATTATAGAAAATGCGTTCTCCTCACTGATAGGTCCTGACCTTTAGTTACCATTTTTTCATCACGCATACTCACCTTATTACGCCTTACTATTTTTTACTCCCGCATTTTCACACCAGCTACCTGCTTTGAGATCTTGTTTAAGTGTCTTAGATATCAATGTTACGTAATGGATATCCCTTGGATATCTGTGGTTATTCACATATATCTGTCAGATTTTTCTGGAATATACATTAGATGTCACAACGTCTAAACATTCGATGGAGTGTCTAAACATAGTAGAAATCATACGTCTTTAGAAAGATATTTCATGTGAATTCAGAAACTTTGGAGATCTCTGTTAGACTTGGAAATATCCAGTTTTTTTTCTTGTAAAAGAGTTATATTAAAGATGTTCTGGGGGATATTTGTGGCTGAGCTGAGTGGAAATATGGCAGTGGAAATTTTGTGGTCTGAGCTGAAATCATGTTAAATGGACTCAAACTCTTCTTTATGCTTGATAGAGGCACTTTAAAAGGGCATAAAGATGAGATCTTAGAGTCCCACATGTTTGGTATTTTTGAAGGGCAGCTTGCTCTGATTTGACTTCGTATGGACATTGATGCGCGACCATTAAATGCCTTTCTGATAAGTGATTCTCCCGGAATTCATCAGCTGAATTTGCCAGCAAGACATCCAGATTTTAATATCAAAAATCATCTCTGAGATTATATTTTTTTAATAATTTATTTTATAAACGTCGTTGAAGAGCCGACGCAATTTTTTGGGTTTACGCTTTGTAATTTTGAACCCAATCCAGAAGAAAAGGTAATTCCTATATCATGTATTGGGAGAAATTTACTTGGAGGACTTTTTAATGAAATTAATTCGCATTTGCGTTATGTGGAGAGGAAAATCACGAAAACTTCCCACTGTTAGCCTGATGCAAGGGGAATCTAGCCCATGATCCGTTTACCACTGAGGATATTTTAAATCAGCACTGCGGTTGTTGCGAGCCAGTGCGGAATTCTTATCGACCAGCCATCGCTGGGATTTGAACCCGGGTCACCTCATTTGCTAACGTTCTATCCCCTGAGCCACCATGGCTGTTATGAGATGCTATTATAAAGAATAATTGTTCAATTGAACAATTATAAAGAATCATTGGTTACCTTATTATTCGGTTCATATCACATTTTTAAATAATAATAATAGTGAAATTAAAACTTATGATACAGAAAAAACACTGTTTTAACTGTATGCTTCCAAATTAATGGAACATTTTTTAGTCACTGTTACAAAACTTAATCCTATATAAATACAGTGAAACCTCTCGGGAAAGACCACCCTCTGTTCCACAGTAAAATGGTCGTTATTGGAGGTTGGTCATTCTTAGAGGTTAAATCAATTGAATCCAAAATGTTAGAACTATTATAAATAAATGAACAGTTATGTTTTTGTGTAAATCTGCATTTAGTTTTATATCATAAAAATTAATTTACTTTAAAAAATTAGAGGTTTGTTTGAAATGTCTAGTTTTTTTTCTAAAGTAACTTTTGTTTCCTATTTTAATTTTGAAACTAAATCATTGATAGCATCGTCTTTATTACACTCAGACTGTAACATAAGGTTGCCAATCTCTAACTGAAATGGTTAAAAAGAGCTCTCTAAATATGAGTCACTCAGAAATATTTTGAATACATTTGAATTTTCTTATTTATTTTTTTAATATTTTATATATATATTTTGTGTTTCTTTATTTAACCTTTCCCGTTCGGAGGTCTCCCGGTCACTGGGAGAGGTTTTAATAGCCTCTCCCTAAGGTTTTCTTCAACACAAAGTCTATGGAAAAAATTCCGTTCTTCTCAAAAGTTAGGTTGTAAATAGAGGTGGTAGCCACACAGAGGTGGTGTTTCCTGGAAGTTTCCCAGTATTAAAGTCACTAAGGTTGGGCGAAAGGGAGTTTGCAATTCATTTTCCCAATTACTGCGTTCCGTATGTTTTTGATATGTGTAAAAAAGTTTTCTTTTTCTTAGTCTGTTGTTTTCATCGCATTGACAACACTTTTAGTTTCTGTTAACTTACAGTGTCACCTATCAGTGAGATTTAAAGTTTTTTCTAACCACGCCTAAAATATTTTCATTACTTAAGGAGCATACTGTGATGAAATTTCAGTTCTCTTGGATACTGTATGTGAATACAGGAAGAAACCGTCGAGGAGAAAGCCTGATTCCCTCCGGGATAAGGCTTCAAAACTTGCACGGACTTAAGATCTAAAGAGTCTTTTTAATGATCCTAAGGTCGCTTAGATTATTCGATCCCCAAAATCTTCTACATCAGAAATCAAGTTGGAATACTGCATATCACCTTCTTTTAGCCATTTACCTCCGGGTATCCAGTACATGGAGAGATTCAGCATCATCTCTCTTCAACATCATTCCAGTTCCATATTTTTAAGCGCTAGTTACACCATCATTACGGAAATGGCTTCATTGGCCACGCATCTACTCCTAGTTTCTGCAGTTCTCTTGGATCAGTGGTTTTTGTTTGTTACAGGGTTTCAATTTCACAACTTGAAAAAAATCATACACTATATAAACTATTGAAATAGCATACAGAATGACCAAAAAATAATGCAACAAATGCTTAAGGATAGTTGGATAAGCAATAAAGATTGCGAATTGCACAACTACCTATGCATCTAAAAGCAAGATAGGGGAAAAACAAGCGTGCATTATTCCTTCAATTCATATTATCCCTTCTACTGTAGTTTATACTTCCATATACCCTATAATGTTAATTAACTAGATACCTTACTAAGGTTAGAAAAAAATTAAACAATTCTATGACTATTATTTTTATTAGACGAACCATTTCTTTCTTATATACAGTACCTACTATTGCTATACAGTTCCTTACTACTATATTCCAAATTTTACATATATAAGTTAAGTGTAGGTATCATTTCCTTTTAATTCCAACATCATGCTTTTCGCTCTCGCGAGCCAATCCTCTGGAAGGCCGACGAAGAAGGCGATGTCCACGTCCCACATATCTTTAGAAAGTTTCCCACCCAAGTTTTTCTGAACTCTTCTGGACACTTTGTCACAGACCATCTCGCGGAGGGCTATGGTCTTCACACCCTCACAGAACGTGCAGCTATTCTTATCTCGGCAGCAGCCGTGCCACAGGCAGTGCGCCTGGTGGTGTGGGTTCACTTTGGTGTGCCTGTCCACGCACACATTCCAAATAGAAGTGTTCATCATGTCCTCGAATTTCTCTGAGTAACCAACCAACATGATGGGATCTAGTTTATCGATGTCGTGGATTCCTGATGAGTCCTGGCTTAGAGGTTTCACCTGTGATGGAAAAAAAATTAGAACAGAAATTTTCATATGATGTTTCGTAATACAAATGCTTGATTCAAATGTTGCAGTTGGGCTGGATAGTTATGGACTCCATTTAAGTCAATTGGGATGTCTAAACTTTTTCCATATTGGTTCTAGAATGACTTTCAATTATGGACCATGATTCATTTCTCTCTAGGTCCTTTATAGGTTTATAATGTTGGGTAAATATAAGGGGTGGCTAGATCTTTTAACATTGGTCGTAGAAAGTCTTTCAATATTCAGGATCAATTTTACTTTTAATGTAGGGCCCTTAAAAATTTTAAACATTGAGTAAACATTGGGATGTCCAGATTTTTTAATAAGTCCCAGAATGCCTTTTCATAATGGACCACGATTCATTTATATCTAGCCTAAAGGCTAATAATTTTGGGAAAATATTGGAATGTCTAGATCTTTTAATATTGGTCCTAGAAAGGCTTTCAATAATGGACCATGATTCATTTAGATCTAGGCCCCTTATAGTCTTATAATATTGAGGTGTCTAGATCTTTTAATATTGGTGCTAGAATGGCTTTCAAAAATGGACCAATATTATTTTCAATGTTAGACACTTATAGACTTTTAATATTGGGTAAATATTGGGATGTCAAGATTTTTTAATATTGGTCCTAGAATGGCTTTCAATAATGGAACACGATTCATTTCTTTCTAGGTCCCTTAAGGGCTTATAATGTTGTAAAAATATAGGGTGTGGCTAGATCTTTTAATATTGGTTATAGAAGGGCTTTTAATAATGGATCATGATTCATTTATATCAAGGCCCCTTATCGTCTTAAAATGTTGGGTAAATATTGAGGTGTCTAGAATATTGGTGCTAGAATGGCTTTCAAAAATGGATCAATATTATTTTCAATGCTGGACCCTTATAGACTTTCAATATTGGATAAATATTGGGATGTCAAGATTTTTTAATGTTGGTCCTAGAATGGCTTTCAATAATGGATCAATATTATTTTCAATGTAGGACCCTTAAAAACTTTTAATGTTGAGTAAGCTTTGGGATGTCTAGATTTTTTAATATTGATTCTAGAACAGCTTTCTATAATGGACCAAGATTCATTTATATTTAGTCACCTTATAGGCTTATAATGTTGGGAAAATATTGGAATGTCTCGATCTTATAATATTGGTCCTAGAATAGCCTTCTAGAATGAACCACGATTCATTTATATCTAGTCTATAGTTATATCATGTTGGGTAAATATTGAGGTATCTAGATCTTCTAATATTGGTGCTAGAACGGCTCTCAAAAATGGAGCAATATTATTTCCAATGTTGGATCTTTATAGACCTTTAATATTAGGTAAACATTAGGAAGTCAAGAATTTTTTAAATTGATCCCAGAATGGCTTTCAATAATGGACTACGCTTCAATTCTATCTTGGTCACTTATGGGCTATATTTTATAATATTGGTCCTAGATAAAAACTAATCATGTTCCAATATTGAAAGCAATCTGAACCAACATTGAGACATCCCGTTATTGGATCCTCAGTGCATGGTCTTATACGACCTATATTGAACCAATTTTTAGCCCGACTGAGGCCGAGGTAAAATTGTATCTAAGGGTATCATGGGAAAATTCCTATGCCTTGTCTCAGTAAGAAAATTTTGAAAATTACTTCAATTAAGTTATCAGTAATTATCTTTTAGATAAGAGGTTATTAAAATAGTCCATTTAAATTATACCCGATTTATAATAAATAGGCAAAATCGTGCAATAATTTTCAGTCGCTACTTTTACGCTAAAAGATACGTTATACATTTCACATTAAGTTACGTTATATACTTCAAATTAAGACGACAAAAAATCAATAACATCTCTGGGGACGATTTACAGTATGTTAGAGTGTACAGAGTGATTGTTTGACGTAAAATTGGAAAACCTGAAATTAATCAATTATAATATTTTGAAACTAAAAGGTGGTGTCCAACACTACGAAATATAATATTTATCAAAGCATAAATGTTCTACTACTTTTGTCATTCGGGAAAATTTTTCATAGCTACGAAATATTGCTTTTTCGCAAAAGTTTAGTATCCTCAGTAGTAGTCATATAAGTTTCGATTTCCCTTATTTAAAAATGTGATATGAACGGAATAATTAGGTAATCAATGATTCTTTATAATTGTTAAATGGAACAATTGTTCTTTGTAATAGTATCTCACAGGAGCCATGGTGGCTCAGGGGATAGAACGTTAGTCTTCCAATGAGGTGAACCGGGTTCGAATCCCAGCGAAGGCTGGTCGATACGAATTCCGCACTGGATGGCAACAACCACAGTGCTGATTTAAAATATACTCAGTGGTAAACGGATCATGGGTTAGATTCCTCTTGCCATCAGGCCAACCGTGGGAAGTCTTCGTGGTTTTCCTCTCCATGTAACGCAAATGAGAGTAAGTTTCATCAAAAAGTCCTCCACGAAACAAATTTCACCCAATACTTGATCCAGGAATTCCTTTTTCGTCTGGATTGGGTTAAAAAATTACAAGGCTACGGAGTTAAACATTAGTAGTCATCATACACCCAAAGTTGGGTCTGCTGTTCAACGCCGGCTATAAAATAAAATGTAAAACGAGGGAATCAGAATTTATTTGAATAAAAAAAGGATCGAGAGCATCAAGATGAGCTGTTTTGGTATATGGTCGAGTCTATGAACGGCACAAACATAAATAAAGAAAAACATTTTTTTTAAATACATGTGCACGGCCAGTGGACATGCGAATTCAACTAAACATTAGTAGTCGTAAGCCCAAAAAATTGGGTTGGCTGTTCAACGACGGTTTCAAAATGAAGATTCTTTTCTTTAAACATGAATACTTTAAAACGTAAGTCATAGTTTTCGTCACTATTGAATAAATAAAGAGGTTATAAATATATTAAAGTGAAGTGTCATTTCCACCCCGTTTTGCATTTTTTTGTCGTCTGTGGTAACCCTAAATCGAGAATACTCCTCTATCGAAAACAAGGTAAATATGAACTGATTTTGCTGCCAGCTTTTCCTCGTTTCTGGGGTTCAAACTACCCTGAATAATTTTAATTTCACTTTTCAAGATGCTTTAAGTTCATCACATTTAAAAATAAATACAATAAATACGAACCCTCTGCCCTAGTGAAGCCATTTTATCAGCCACCATTTGGAAGAAATTCAAATGATCCAAATAGTCAGAAAACGCCTCCAAAATCTTTAACTCGTCAAGTTGTCGAACATATTGACCACTCTCTCCGTTGCTGAGTTCCTTACAGGCACCCAGCGCTGTCTCAATCCATAAGGTGGTGTTCGTTACCCACTCTTGAACGCCATTTCTTCGTTTCCTGAAGGTTGTAGGATCGTCATAAAGGGCTGCATCCTTCTCCAGGCTCGATTGTAGGATGTCACTGTTGAATTGACAACTCCACGCCTTCGCTCTGACCTCCCTTTCAAAGTGTTGCCAATACTGTGGATCGTGGAACACATTCCATGAGGGTAAAGCGTGACTGTTTGTCTCAGCGCCTATGAAAATCACCAATAAAATTTAGCAAGTAGAGAAAACACATTATAATTTCAGGCCTGCAAACTACAACGCTTTTTGTAAAATATTTTATAGAGTGGTAGACATTGAAAAACCAAAGTTTTCAGAATTATTTGGTAATTTTGCCAACATTTTAATAGCGTCACTGTGAAAGAACTGGTACCAAAGTGGTGTTGCGTATGAGCTTTCAAATTATTAATATATAGTGGTGTAGAAAATAAGTTTAAATTAGTAAAAAATAATATTCTAAAACACAGACTTAGCTACCACTAGTATTAATTTTTACAAGAAGCGAAGCAAGTTGGCAGCCCTTTAATTTACAGATGGAGACTCCAACTATTTGACGCTGTTGCGAATTATTATTTTTTTTTTTGGCTGGAAATGAGCAAAATATAAACAAACGAACTATTTAAAAATATTTATTTGAACTTAAGCAGTTGCTTCTATGCAGAGATGTCAACAGCTCAGGATTCGATAAAATTAAGGCTCTTATACTATCAGAGCTGACCTATCAAGCAATATTGGAGCAAACAAGCTCGCAAGTTAACGATATGTTAGTATTATTTATGTTATTACAGAGATGCCAACTGCTCTGGACACGCATAATAATTTAAAAAACGGTAAATAACTACAAAGTAAAATTTGCAAATAGTTGACAATATTTGCTTGCTTTTAAAAATGTAAAGCATGTCATAAGTACTAAAAAGTGATGAATTATATAAGCCTACGTATTGTTTATAGATAGTGGTGGATTAAAATCTACTAAATCGAACTTATTAAACCAATAATTACAATTCATAAACTACCACTTGAAAATATTTATTCGCTGTGCTTATGTTAGCTCTTTGCTCCAACAATAAATGATAAGTCGGCCTGTCTAATTCAGGGGCTCTAGATAAAATGTTTTTAAAAACGATGGAGTACTAAAAGCTAAAATTTGCAGGTTTTCAGTTAACTTTGACAATTTTATAAAAAGCTCAACGCGACCTAACTGTAACAAAATGGTGTAACACATAAGCCTTTGGATTATTTAGAAGTAAGTAAAACTCTATAAATCGAATTTAAATAACCAAGAATCATATATATTACAAGACTATCACTCAAGAATATTTATATTCGCTGTGCCGAGCAAGTTGTAGCGATGCAAAATTGTTCCGCATTGTAAAAAGAACATTTTCTAGTGGCAGTGAAGTTTGAGTTATTTTTAGTATATTAAATTTAGTTTCAGGTTATTTTTTCGCCACTACGTATCAAACATTCATAGCCTCATATAGAATACTACTTTTAGTTTCATAGCCTCATGGACAATATATTTTTAGTTTATAAAGTTTGATTTCAAATTATTTTTTCACCACTACTTATCAAAAATTCATAGTCTCTTATAGAATACTACTTTTAGTTTCATAGCCTCATGGAGAATATATTTTTAGCTTATTAAGTTTGATTTCAAGTTATTTTTACACCACTACGTATCAAAAATCCATAGCCTCATATAAAATACTACTTTGTTTCAATTATCTCTTGGTCAGGTTTCGTACGCACCTGGAAATATTTAAAAACTGTTTTCAATTTTGTTATAAGGAAGTTGAAAATTTCTAAATATTATCTTCCACTTTCGTATCAAAATTTCATATCCTCCACCTTCGGATCTACGTATATTTACTTAGAGAAAATAGAATATTCTGGCATCTACAAACATAATAGAAATTTTTTTTATCATATTGCTAACACTTTTTAATTTTTTCCAAGTGCGGATGAACCCTATCAATGAGATTACTGAAGAGTTGGCGAAATTATTATTTATTCTACAAGTTTTAACCCTTTAACGAGCCTTTTATTTTTAGTAAAGGTAAATTAAAGTATTTTTGGAATTGAAATTGTTTTAAGAACAGTAATTGATATTAAAAAAAACTCATTTTGTTTATAAAAACGCCATTTTTTTGGTGGTAAATATATTTAACATGACCTATTAGGAACTTACTGGCTTTTATTTTTATTTATTTATAAAATAAATTCCTCAAATGTTACAAACTTCAAAAGGAATTATGTATTTTATAACTTTTATACGTTTATTAAAAGTGACAAATGGTTACCAATTTTATTCAAACTCACTTCAAGAAAGCTGAAGTTATTGAAAAATGGAAACCTAAATTAAAAGTGGTAAAACGTGGTGGTAAGTATACTTACCACGGCCTTCAAAAGGGTTAATTCGCTATCAGTTTATTAAAACTTCCTTATAAGGCGACGCATTTGGCATCTCTGCACGTGAAGAGATGTCAACCACTCCGCTTTCTACAAATTTTTTAATTAATTTGTAACGAATTAAATAATTAAACTTGTAGAATAAGGACAGCTATCCCCAATCTTTGGAAGTGTCACCAGCACCACGAGGTAACTGCAATAACGTTGCAATTGATATCATGCTTTGAATTTTTGATATATAGTGGTGGAAAAATTATTTAAAATAAAATTTACTTAACTAAAACTAACGTGAAATAATGTCAAAAGAGTTTTTTTGAAGTGGTAGAGAATCGGCATTTCAATGCAGAGATGCCAACTGCTCCGAATTGAACAAAATATTTAACAAAAGAAAAAAAAATGAGAACTACAAACTAAAATTTGCATATTTTCGATTAATTTTTCCAACATTTTACAAGAGTCAGCTCGGCTTAACTGTAACAAAGTGGTGCATCACATAAGCTTTTGAATTTTTTTTAGAAGTGATCAGTAATAATTCTATGAATCGAATTTACTAAACCAAGAATCATACATTACCATTTGAAACTATCATAAGCATATCTGACAACTCTTCCGGGTTTTTCCGGAAGATTTTATTTTCACATTTAAAGTGGTAGCGAGACTCATGTTATTCCAATTAACTTTTTGAATTATAATGATAATTATAAATGAGTTTGACCACCACTACATATAAATATATAAAAGCATAATAACTAATACGAAAGCGAATTTCTACGTAGTCAAAATACAGTTATATGTCTGAGTCAGATTGTTTTTCGTTTATTGTTTTACTACCACTTGCATACCTGTCAACTTTTCCGGAAGATTTTATTTTCATATTTAAAGTGGTAGCAATACTCAGGTTATTCCAATTAACTTCTTGAGTTATAGATGAGTCTGACCACCACTACATATAAATAATTACAGTAAATATATGAAAGCATAATAATCTTTACGCAAGCAAATTTCAACGGGATCAAAATATAAATATATTTTTGAATCAGATTGATTTTCGGTTATTGTTTTACAACCACTCTGAAAATCCATTCTCGGAAAGAGTGAAAGTTGGCAGGTATGCACTTGGAAAGTCCATTCTCGGAAAGAGTGAAAGTTGGCAGGTATGCATAAGACTACCATTCGATAAATATTTATCCGTAGTCCGGAACAAGTTGGCATTTGAGTTTCCATATCACATCTTGTAATTTCAGTCGCCTGTCTCATCCCTGCCACTTTAAAGATCTTTCCAGATCGAGAGAACACTGTATTTGCAGAGATGCGACAGGGGGGACTAACAATGTAAAAAGGGGTAGAAATTAAATTCATTTTTGTTTCTTTATTATCACATTAATTATTCTATTTACTTTACTATGACTTAATTTCAAGATATATTAATATACAATCACTTACAAGTGTGAACAAGAAATAATATGCTAGTAAAAGTAGCTAGTTTTAACCCTTTGCACTCCGATGCCCCCCACGGAGTTCAACCACTTTAAAACAAAGAAATTTTATAGGTTAATAATTAGTATCCAAATTGTTTTAAGAATTTTTAAACTGTATAACAATGAGTGTTACAAATGCTATTGTGCTGATATTAAATTAACCCTTTAATGAGCCGTTTATTTCTAGTAAAGATAATATATTTTTGAAATTGATATAAGGAAAAACAACTTATTTAACTTATAAAAAATTAATCTAAATTTTAATGCCATTTTTTTGGTGGTAAGTATATTTACCACGACCTATTAGGAACTTATTGACTTTTCTTTTTCTTTATAAATAAATTTTATAACTGCCAAACTTCAAAAGGAATTATGTGTTTTATAACTTTTATGCGTTTTCTTATACTAAAAAATGATTGCCAATTTTATTCAAACGCATTTCAAGAAAGCTGACAAATGGAAACCTCAGTTAAAAGTGGTTGAAAATATTAACTTTCACTAGCATGTTTTTTTTTTAAAAAATTACTATTCATCGCGAGTGTACAATATTCTATTTTAAATATAAATAATTTACAATATAATTTCTGGTGTTAGTNAGAAATTAAATTCATTTTTGTTTCTTTATTATCACATTAATTATTCTATTTACTTTACTATGACTTAAATTCAAGATATATTAATATACAATCACTTACAAGTGTGAACAAAAAATAATATGCTAGTAAAAGTAGCTAGTTTTAACCCTTTGCACTCGATGTCCCCCACGGAGTTCAACCACTTTAAAACAAAGAAATTTTATAGGTTAATAATTAATATCCACATTATTTTAAGAATTTTAAAATTGTATAACAATGAGTGTTTCAAGTGCTATTGTGCTGATATTAAATGAACCCTTTGAGGGCCATTTATTTCTACTAAAGGTAAATTAAAGTGTTTTTGAAATTGATATAAGAATAGTAATTGATATAAGGAAAAACAACTTATTAGCTTATAAAAAATTAATCTAAATTTTAATGCCATTTTTTGGATGGTAAGTATATTTACCACGACCTATTAGGAACTTATTGACTTTTTTTTTCTTTATTTATAAAATAAATTTTATAACTGCTACAAACTTCAAAAGGAATTATGTATTTTATAACTTTTACGCGTTTTCTTATACTAAAAAATGGTTGCCAATTTTATTCAAACGCATTTCAAGAAAGCTGACAAATGGAAACCTAAATTAAAAGTGGTTAAAAATATTAACTTTTACTAGCATATTTTTTTTTAAAAATTACTATTCATCGCGAGTGTGCAATATTCTATTTTAAATATAAATAATTTACAATATAATTTCTGGTGTTAGTTACGATTGAATAATTTAATATAGTAAATAGTGACAAAATTTAACAGATTAAGAATTGAGATTCTACATTTTAAGTCGCCCGTGCTATCCCTGAAAAATGAGTGAGATGGTCAAATAAAGAGGAAACGATACCTTACCTAATATTTCACGTCTTTCGCGAACACCCATGTCAGCAATATTAAAAGCAAATTCATACTTACCTAATAGTGTTGAGTGAAACCACAAATAAATCAAAAAATGTGAGAGAAACGATGTCAACATGTTTGGAAAAAAATATATAATATCCACGAGGTAATTACGTCATCAGGGGAAATAATTTTGTGAAAGAGCATGCAAAAACAATTTTGACGAAATTGAAACCTCATGCGGTAATGGATGAGTTAATTGTTTTTATGTTCGAACACGATCGAAGACGTTGACTTATTCTCAGTAAAATATTATCAATCAGAATATCACAGGTGTGAGCTTGATTTAAAAGATATCGGCAGTTGATAATGACTCAAAGCTGTGATAAAATTGAAACATTATCATTGATATTTTTTGTCAGAAAAAAATAGCGTCTTTTTGTAGCTCGTGATTATTATTCTTTTGTAGTGACCTTGACTTCTTTATTTCATCAAAACATTTTTTAACCTTTCCTACTTTTTGTTTTATTTATTTATTTTTTCTTTCTTTTCTTTTTCTTTCTTTTCTTTTACTTTCTTTTTTTTTTCTTTTCCTGTTTGTCAGTCAAAGCGTTATGTAAAAGTAAAAATATAAATGTTCATAAAGGGGGAAAAAAACGAATTATACTTATTGCATTTAACTTGTTGTTTCCCGATTCTAAATGTATCGGTCACCAAAGCGTTAGAAAATTAAAAGGATTGCACAAAAAATTAAAAAATGAATAAAAATAAATTTCGCAAGTGTACACATTCTTTAGAAATTTGTCAAAAAAACACATAATAATAATAATTTTGAACATGTGTAGTACTTTTCTTTCATTCAAATTTGAACAGATATTTTAATTTTAAATGTAACAAAAGCTAATTTCGAAGTATTCTACATACATCCAAAACAAACAAACCCTATTTGGGCTTTTCCGTGACGTCATAGCATATGATATAACTATTTCTTTTTGTCAATGTTGGTGCTGTGAATCCAACTTAAAGCAAAGCAAACCAAATTTTAATGCACATGGATCACATATTATCTCCTAGATTGATGTTCATAACAAAATAATTTTTTTACCACTTTTTACGTTTCGAACTATTATTAAAATGAAAAGTAATACTTTCTGTAAGATTCAGTTCTGAAAAAGATAGTGTAGTGTAGTAAACCATGAAAAACGGAAGCTTTCAGAATATATAATAATTTTACCCACATTTTAAGGCTGTATTTCGAAGGATCTGTAGTAACACGAAATGACGTTTTTTGGGGAACAATATATTATTTTATTAACTTATGTGAGTTTGCAACTCATGACTAAAGTGACCACATTTTCATTGAGACAAATGGGATGAAATGAGAATTACAATTTAGTTATGAATATTTTATTGTATACATTCATATACTTGCACAAAAATGAATTTATTATTAATTATTGGTAACTATGAAAATATTTGTAAAAAATAATAATTTGAACATCATGATTTTTAATCAAATTAAATTTTTTATTAAAAAAAAATATTATTTTCTTTCACGATCATATTTTTGATCTGAGTGAATACTTAGCAATAGATTCGGATCATTTATTAAAATGTCGTGAAATATTTCACATGAATTGGTCAAATTATATTTTACACTTAAAATAGATTTTTAAAGTTTTAATGTTCAACTGCGTTCTTTCAGTTGTCCATATTTTATTGANCGCTAGGTTCATTTTCATTATTGACGATATTAACGATCATTTCATGGGATCAAGTTGTTAGATTTTGTTTTCCCGAGTGTTTGGAAGATAAAATTCAGATTTATTTTTCGGCGGTATTTTTGAAAATGAAAATCAAACTAGAACAAAAAAATCCTTAAAATATTTGATAGCTCGGTAAAAGCGGAAACTGGGATAACCGGGGCTCGGATTATCGGGACTCTACTGTATTTCTTTTTGTCAATGTTGGTGCTGTGAATCCAACTTAAAGTAAAGCAAACCAAATTTTTATGCGCATGGATCACATATTATCTCTTAGATTGATGTTCATAACAAAGTAATTTTTCTACCACTTTTTGCGTTTCGAACTGTTATTAAAATAAAAATAATACTTTAAATTAGATTCAGTTCTGAAAAAGACTGTGTAGTGTAGTAAACCATGAAAAAAAGAAGCTTTCAGACTATATAATAATTTCATACCTGCCAACTTTTAATCCCTTCCATTATCATTTTTCCCAGTGGTATTAAAATGGAATTAAAACTTCAATTTTAAGCAAACAAATACGTTGTATTTGAAAAAAATTAAGTTGACAACCATGACTGGATCATGTAATTTTGGCACTAGACCTCTGATCTGTGTTATGCCCTAGGGCGACTGAAACTAATGGCATTGGAAGACAACCATGATAGTAACGCACATTAATATAAGTGCTTCATTTTTGTAAGAATAGTGGTGATGAAAATCATTTAAAAATTAAGTTTATAAGAGAAAAAATAGCATATATTTACTACCACTTTAAATATGAAAATAAAATCCGGAAGAGTTGGCAGGTATGTAATTTTATCCACATTTTAAGGCTGTATTTCGAAGGCTCTGTAATGATACGAAATGATGTTTTTTGGGGAATAATATATTATTTTATTAACTTATGTGAGTTTTCAACTCATGACAGTCAACTCACTCTATGCAGAGATGACAACTTGCCTCTGTAATATATAACGGAAATTTAGTTATTTATAGTTTAGTATTTTTCATTTTAAGTCATTTTTCAACCACTATATATCAAAAATTCTTATGATATGCAACTTTACTGATTGCAGTTACCTCGTAGTGACGCTTTCAAAGGGTGGATGTAACTATATTTATTCTACAAAAGTTTTACTATTTAATTCGCTACCAATTTCTCAGAAAGAGCAGTTGGCATTCCTGTCTATGTTTATTCTGAAAATGGTGTATAACTTCAGTGTGGAGACGAGCCACAGTTTTGAGGAAATGAAAAACATTTATGTTCTCATTTTTTTAACTTTTTGAAACTTACTCCAATGTTGCATTATCTGGGCACATAAGAATTTGCATAAAAATGGAAATAAGGGCATGGATTTTGGATAATTTTCAACTTAAGGGTAAAATGTTGCCACATTGGCAATTTTTAAAAATGTTTAATGACTTTTAAAATATTTTAGTTATTTGTCCGTTCTAAAGACCAGATAATTCTTTACAGCGAAATGGCACATATAATATGAAATTATAGCCTTCCTACAAGTGTAAGGCACCTAAACTGTGACTTTTTTATTTTCATTGGTGAAAGAGTGTCGAAAAACCTTGTTAGAAGCCTCACCACGAGCTGCAACAAAGTGACTTTTTAAATAAACTTTTGTATCATTCACATTTAGTAGTGTGGAAAATAATTTTAAATCAAATTTACAAAAACAAAAAATCATACATTAAAGCATAGAGCTAGCTACGACTAGATTCTAAGAAATTTTCCCAATAAGTGTAGAAAGCGTGGCATCTCCATACCTGCCAACTTTTAATCCCTTCCATTATGATTTTTCCAAGTGGTAGTAAAATGGAATTAAAATTTCAATTGTAAGCAAATACAATATGTTGTACGTGTTTGATAAAACATCAGCTGACAGCCATTATAGTAACGCTCATTAATATATATGCTTAATTTTTTTAAGAATAGAGGTGATCAAAATCATTTAAAAATTAAGTTTTTAGAAAATGTAGTGTATATTTAGTGCCATACCCTCCAACTGCTACGGAATTTCCGTAGTTTTAAAATTCTTCTTTTCAGACGGTAGCAAAATTAATGTCTTAATATTTTAAAAAAATTAATTTTAGCGTAACTTGTCCACTATTACTTATGAAAGTGCAGGCCATATGGCTAGATTCTTAAGTTCTGATAAAAGTTTTATGAGAGATCCATTTGCTTTAAAAATTTCTACTTTGGTTCGCTACCACTAGAAAGAATTATTTTCAAAATCCTCATAAGTTGGAGGGTATGTATTTACTACCACTTTAAATATGAAAATAAAATTTTACGCCAAATGCCTAAAAGTTGGCAAGTATGCATCTCTAATACAGTATAAGGGCCATTTAGGCCTCAGATGCCCAGTTCTAAAACAACGAACGAACTCTGATACAGTAAAGTTTGCAACAAGTACAAAAAATTCATCCACAAGGAAAAGAAATTTGTCATATCTGTTACAGTAGAGTTTGTTACAACTACCAAACGTTTTTCCACAAAGTGAAGCAATAAGACATATCTGTTGCAGTAGAGTTTGTTATAACTACAAAACGTTTTTCCACAAAGTGAAGCAATAAGNTTGCCAATTAACTAGTTTCAACTGATCATACGAGAAATTTAAATATTAATGCGAAATTCTTATGATATGCAACTTTATTGATTGCAGTTACCTCGTGGTGACACTGTCAAAGGGTGGATGTAACTATATTTATTCTTCATAAGTTTTACTATTTAATTCGCTACCAATTTCTCAGAAAGCGGAGCAGTTGGCATTCCTGTCTATGTTTATTCTGAAAATGGTGTATAACGTCAGTGTGGAGACGAGCCACAGTTTTGAGGAAATGAAAAACGTTTGTGTTCTAATTTTTTTCTTTTAACATTTTGAAACTTACTCCAATGTTGCATTATTTGAGCACATAAGAATTTGCATTAAATTGGGAATAAGGCATTGATTTTGGTAATTTTCAACTGAAGGGTAAAATGTCGCCAAATTGGCGATTTTTAAAAATGTTTAATGTCTGTTAAAATATTTTAATTATTTGTCCGTTCTAAGAATCAGATAATTCGATAGTTCTTTACAGCAAAATGGCGTATATAATATAAAATTATAGCCTTCCTACAAGTGTAAGGCCCTTAAATTGTGGCTTTTTTTATTTTCCTTGGCGAAAGAGTTTTGAAAAACCTTGTTAAAAGCCTCACAACGAGCTGCGACAAAGTGACATTTTACATAAACTTTTGAATCATTCATATGTAGTAGTGTAGAAAATAATTTTAAATCAAATCTACAAAAACAAAAATCATACATTAAAGCATAAAGTTACCTACGACTAAGTGTAATTCTAAGAAATTTCCCGAAAAAGTGCTGTAAGTGTGGCATCTCTGTTACAATAAAGTTTGCTACAACTACAAAAAACTTATCCACAATGTGTAGCAACTTGACATCTCTTTTACACTAAAACATAAAGTTTGCGACAACTACCATAATTTATCCACAAAGTGCAGCAATTTTGGAATCTGCAGGATTGCAATTTTTAAAAAAATCAAAACTAAAGAAAGACGCAAGTTTCATATTATTTTATTGCCTAAGTTCTTACTCATATAATAAAGGGTATTACAATATGTCATTGATAAATAATATTAAGGTAATAACATATTAAGTCATATAATATATACTCATATAATAAATATTTGAGTTTTAAGGAAAATAAACAATATAACACTGTCGATTTAAATAAAATGTATAAAATATGACGTCACTCACTGCATCACATTTGGTAGGTGTCATTCAGCATACAAGATGATTTTTTTAATTAATTAATTTATTATTTTTCTAATAATTTGAATTAAGTCTTTGTTTTGCAAAAAGTATTACAAAATAAAACAAGCAAAGTCTAAATCTGTTTAACTGTTTTAAAGCCATTTCAATTGTAAATTATGAAAATTTTATAGAATGCGATAATATTTATCAATCAAAATAAATAACTTCTGCTAAATTTAATTTCAAATACAAATTTATAACTTCATATGCACTGGCTAAACAAATTCGATTTAAGGCTAAACCTTGGCATATTTGTTGCAACCTAAATAAGGATTAAATTTAAAAATATTTTCGCTTAAATTTAATATTAGTATCATATACTGTAATTAAGTATGAAAATAATTAACTTGTACTGACAATTTAGTTCAACATGACGCAGTTTCGAAATTGCAACAATGTTATACAACGCTAAATATATTAGTTAAGCATAGCACCTTTTCTAAGTTACAACAATGTTGAATAGCGTAGAATATGTTCAACATAACACCTTTTCAAAGTTTCAACAATGTTGAAACAGTTTAGCATGAGACCTTTTCAAAATTGCAACAATGTTTAACAATGCAGTGCTCCAACTGCACCCACATCATTAAAATTTTACAGCGATTCAGCTTTATATGAGATACATTAATGGTTGTTACGGTTTAAATAGTTAAAACTACATAAAACGTTTTAAAGTACGCATAGTGCTTCCAGCTAAGTATATGTATCATTTCCTTTTAATTCCATCATCATGCTTTTCGCTTTCTCGAGCCAATCCTCGGGAAGTCCGGAGAAGAAGGCGATGTCCACGTCCCACATATCTTTAGAAAGTTTTCCACCCAAGTTTTTCTGGACTCTTCTGGACACTTTGTCGCAGATCATCTCGCGCAGGGCTTTGATCTTGTTGTCTTCGCAGAACGTGCAGCCATTCGTATCCTCGCAACAGCCGTTCCACATGCAGTGCGCCTGGTGGTGTGGGTTCACTTTGGTGTGCCTGTCCACGCACAGATTCCAAATAGAAGTGTTCATCATGTCCTCGAATTTCTCTGAGTAACCAACCAACATGATGGGATCTAGTTTATCGATGTCGTGGATTCCTGATGAATCCTGGCTTAGAGGTTTCACCTGTTAGCAAAGAAATAAAGGAATGTAATTTTTTCCTACTATGTCCAAAGGAAGGGAAAGGGTACACTTTGGTCTGTGCAGACTACCGTAAAAAACAACATGAATAAAGCACAAATAAAATGACAGAAATGGACATACTATAGTTTCAATTCTACAAGCAAGAACCTTCCTCATTTGTCTACAAATGGACTGTTTGGTCTCTATCCACTGAAGAAGATCCTTGTAGAGCAGAAACTAAAGTATATCCAGTTCTGTACTTTTATTTGTGCTTTATTCATGTTGTTTTTAGCATTAGTTGTTAGACAATGATTTGTAATAAGGATGCTGAAAGTGAATTATCAATATATCAATAATCAACTAGTTTATCACTTGATTAAAAATTTCATTCGCTTCAAAAATACCTTAATAGAAAATAACAGTCGACACGTTTTAAGCGCTCAAAACCTGGTGCTCATTTTCAAGACTTGCCAGGCGTGAATGAGAAGAAACAGAAGAGATTCTTCACCCTCTCTTCATAGCATGTGGAAATGCATTTTGACCTGATTCCCCCCCCCCCCTCTGGCAACTCTGTTTTCTCTTGGTCTGTTTTTCATCTTTTTTTACTCTTGGCTAGTTTTTTGTTGACTGTTATTTTCTATTTATATATTTTTGAAGCGAATGAAGTTTTTAATCTAGTTATATGATACCTCTTACGCTTTTTTGATTATTTATTTAATAATTTTTATGTATAGTTTACTAACGGTAAGAATTATTGTTATGTACCATGGTGGAACTCTGGACGGAGTTTTTCTAACACCGTTTTCGAAGCCACGTGATCTCAAAGTTATAATAACAGTAACATTCTCAAAATAGTGAAAAAGAAAGGCACGTTACTAAGTCTATCCTCATACTTATTTCCTTGGCAATCTTTTATAAATTAAAAAAATTTGCTATTGAGTTTTATTCACTTTAGAGTTTATTTACCGGAAATTACTTGGAATAATTATGTTTTTTGATGCATATATTTTCGTTTACTTGGTCAACACAATTGAATTTATATGTAGTTATATTTTTTTATGTACCTGGACTACTTTTCTTTAACTAAAGGTCATTCATTATATAAAATTACGATTTTAAAGACAAACATACTGCTTTTATAATTGTTTTGAGTTGAAGAAATAGTTCTTTAAATCTGTTACGCGATTAGCGTTTATCTAAATTTTCAACAGATTTTTACCGCTTTGACCTTGTGACAAGTGAAAAAATAATAAAAAATAAAATAAAATATGGACACAATCACTTGAAGTTTGCAAGCCGCAGCTCATTGTTTACCAAGGTTAATACGTAACTGAAAAAAATTAATAACTCTTATCTATTTTGTTATAAAGAAGATGAAAGCTTCTGAATGTTAGCCGTAGCTGCCAACTCGTGTGACCGTTGAGAAATAATTTTCTTAGTAATTCATTCGGCGTATTGAATCTTAAAATTTAAAAAAAAAACTTTTTTAAACTACCACGACGAATCAATAATTTAAATAAATTATGTAGATCAGATCTATTTCTTGAAGAACATCATCAATTATGTCTTTCATTTTTCAAAAATCAATTATTGTACATATCAAATCATGCTTTATCTTTATTTTCAATTTAAGTCTAGAATCAACATTTCGAATGTTATGTAAAAACTCCAATTTGTCCGACTGAAAATTTTATTGTTTTATTATTTCACAAACAAACCGCTTGATTTTTTTATGGCTACCACAATGTAAATATGTTCCTTTCAAATTATGTTTATATTTATATGTGTCAATTTAGATTCGATATTCAAATGTTATATCTACTATATTTATCTATGTCAACCTATGCATATATATTTCAAATTATGTTTTTATTTATATGTGTAAATTTAGTTTCGATATTCAAATGTTTATTTACCCAAGCAAGTACTTGTAATTTTGTATTAGCTACCACATCGACTGCTAAATTCAAAATGTTATCAATTTAAATTTATGTAAATTTCTAGATCAGGGATTTCCAACTGGCGGCCCGGGGGCCGCATCCGGCCCGCGGATTCTTTTTTTGTGGGCCGCGAACTAAAATATATTAGTTGTTATTTTTTGCAGACAGTTTTCGTAAAAAAATCTATATGGGCATTAAATATTTTTCTCGTTAATAAAAACTTAATTTTTTCGTTTCTGTGAAATTTAATATACCAACGGTGCAAAAAAATTTATTTCTCAGGTTTTGCATCCAAGAAAATATTTATTCAAATACAAAAATAATCGTGTATGTTGCTCTTTTTTTATTTCATTTTTTTGTATTTTGTGAATATAATTTAGCATGTGTGTGTCAGAAATTTTCTCGAAGAAATTCACCGATTTAACTTTTTGAAACCACTAATTTAAGACGAAAATATTTACACACACATTTGTAAATTTTAAGTGAAACCACTAATTTAATCTATTCTCTGATGGTTGCAGTAGACAGACCTCAATTTTCTCATTGAACATTTTGTGTGCTACTATGTAAGTTTTAATATTAACCTTTTTAAAGTTTTATATCTTAACAAATAGATATCTGTTGCACATAAATTGTTCAATACATAGGTGCACATTAAAGTTATTGTAGCCCGAATTTTTATTACTTATTTAATATTTTTTTGAATATTATTAATAACAATTAGATATTTTTAAAAATCAACTTCTTATTTTAATTTGTAATTCAATACTTTTGTTTTGTACAACTTGGTAAAAATCTGACAGTAATATTTAATGTTCCTTCAAACATAAAAGAGTCCTACATGAAATTTTGACAAAGTTGTGGCTCGCCATTTGATTTGTGTTTTTAATTGTGGCCCAGGTGCCCAATTTTTTATAAATAAAGTAAGTAAGTCTTGAAGAACATAAATACATACCTCTGAACAAAAGCTTGTTGACTGTTGAGGATTAACAGCAATTTTCATTATATTTTTGGTATTTATATATCTGCTCTAATTGACGTCAGCAGCTTTTGCGTGTATGTTTTTAGGAGTAAAATAGCTACTTTAAATATTTCTTAATATTTTCAAAGTTTTAATTCACTATATATATATATATATCAATCGTCGGGAAG